TCCTCTGCTAATCCACATACACACCCCACCCACACCCACACCCTCAATGTAACAAAACATACAATAATTGATGCAGTAAATGGATTCATTATAATTAATGAAAGATATATATTCTATTAAAAACAAATAGAGAGATATATTTGTGATGAATTAAGAAAGAAGGCCCATAAAATATCACAGCCATATATCGTTGCAATATTAAACTACAAAACCGATCATACTGTACAAAATTATGAATATTAATTAAATCAATAAAAATGAAATAAAGAAAAAATACATTTTTCTTGTTCAACAATAAATTTTTCTACACAGTGAAAATACTACATATACATTAGTCATTAATACACACTACAATTTAATCAGAAATAGAAAGTGATAAGCGCTAGATCATGTGTTCGATATATGGTATAATACAGTAACCAGGACTTCAGATGGATTGAATTATCTCATTCCATCATATTCCATCGGACGAATTTTTTCTTTTTGAATCATCCGATGGGATACATCAACATGCAGACAATAGCACATAATTCACGTGATGAAAAGCGTTCTTGACACAGGGCATACCAAAAGAATAATATATAATTATTCTTTTCTCTATTTGCTACTTCATTTTTTCATATCGATGATAAAAAGAATTAATTTTTCATTTTTTTTTAATTATTTCATTCTTGTTTTGGCCAATCTACTTTTTGTAATTATTTCAATTCTACATAAAATATTTTTTCGAATTAAAATCTTGTTCTTCTTTATAATTTATTATTTAACTGAAAGATTTTCTGAAAAAATAGATGTCATTTTCTATTTCTTGATAGAATATATTTGAAAATTTGATTTAGTATCGAAACGATAAGCAGTGATCTTTTATCATGAATTCATTAAAAAGTTTTATTGTATGAAATATATGAAAAAAAATTATTGAAAACATGTAAGATGATTTCATATCCAATTAGTAGATTGTTTTGAATATCAAACCATTGAGAAAAGAAAGGAATGTGATGAAAAAAATAATTGTTTTTGAAAAGAAAAACCTTTGATTTTTTGCAAAACCTGAACAAGCAAATTCATCAAATAAATTTATTATTCAAAAGTTTTTGTTATTAATGAAATTTGGTTAAGCTCTTAAAAAACACTTTCATTTGTCTTAAATTAAATCAACAATATTTACCATTGACAAACCTACATGTGCCTCCATGATGATGTGTTAATCGTTCTTTGGCTTATGATCACATCTCTATCACGCTTTAAGCAAAAGATATTGCTAACAATTCGTGTCGTCTAGTTCTTTTGTGTGACACATCTCTATAGGATAAAATATGGACGTATTGACTCGCGTTTGTATTACGCTATGTTTGGCTCACTTGTGACGACCAATGAAAAGTGATGATAATAAGAGATATTATTTCTTTATTCTTCACATAACACTTGTTGTAGTATTTTTAATATTAAGTACTTCAAGCTGAAACAAAGTACAGGAGGTACTTTGTAGAATAAAAAAGCAATTTACTATTTTTTATGCCATTATTTAAAGATTATTCATTTTTCTCTTATTTATATATTTTAGTTATAATAGTAGATAGAGCTAAGAAGATTTTTTTTCTTTTAGTTCCATCGAATAGAATTCATATTTGAAATTTCTGTTTTTTTATATTCACTTTACTCATTTATTGTTGTTGAATTGTACATATACACGAATATATTTCTATTAAAAATCTGAAATAATAATAACTTTTTTTTTCAATCTTTTATGGCGGTACTTAGGAGTACCTTATCATTTAGAATGAAGCGCCAACAAGTACCTTTTTATACTTTGTTGTGTACTCAAAAAGTGAGTACACTCTAGAATCGGTCAGTGTGTCCGGCCGGCCGTCCGTCCGTCCGTCCGTTTACACGATAACTTTTGAAAGGAGAGTTCGATCGCGATGAAATTTTCTACACAGTTCAGTCTTAACAATATCTCGGTCGAGTTCGAAGATGAGAAGGATTGGCCGAGCCCTTCCTGAGTTATTGCAAAAATACTCATTTTTCCCTATGAGAAGATAGACCCTTCTCTGCTTTCATAAAAAACTTTTCCTATCATAGTCATATAAAACCCAACTATTATATACCATTCGATAGAGAATTTCACGAGCTACAAAATGGTATATAAAACATAAGGAAACAAGAAAGTTAACTCACCTATTGCAAAGATAATTAAACAGAATTCGGTTCTGTTTTCGTCTACGCTCTATGTGATCTACAATTAGAGCTCTATCTTCCGATCACAGAGATGATAGTTCGAGGTTTTCTGGGGTGGAGAACTTGAATCTGTGTTCCATTCGCCTGGAAATCTCATTGGTTGAGCAGTAACCAATAGAAATCAAGTTATAGGAAAAACGAGTTTCTTAGGGTAAATCAAGGTGAAGAGTTCAAATCTGAGCTGTATTCACCCGCAAATCCTATTGGTTGAGCAGTAGCCAATAGAAATCAAGTGTTTATAGACAAGGTTTGCCAGGATAATTTGTATGTCCGCACATCCTAGGATGACTCATCTGTCTCATTCACTTTTTGAAGTACACATAACTCTCGGATTTAAATCCGAGGTTTCCACATTTATTTTAGATTTCTATTAAAAACGCTGCACTTGTTGTGACATAGAAGATAAATACAATGGTAACTATATTTCAACGCGTTAGTCTGAAAGCAGCTGTTGGTCTCTCTGCACTTGTTCCAATTAGTAATGGTCTATTAGGGATTATTAAAGGCCCTGCAATGCTCGAAAAAGCTATTCGTTGCACTATACCATTGGACAGCCATTTTCGTTACTTGTCAGGTCTTCCTCTTGCCATGGGAATACTATTATTACGCAGCTTGCCTAATATTGAACATGATGGGAGTGATTTACGTCGTGTTACATTACTTATATTTATTGGTGGATTGGGACGTTTATGGGGCTTAATTACGTCAGGTTATGATACCAATACAGTGATAGTGACATTATCGGAGCTGTTTGTATTACCGTTAGCATGTATCTATCAAAACCACATACAAAAAAAAGTTTTGTGTTCACATAAAAAATCTTAATGTTTTTTTTCAGCCAGATAAATTTGTCTCTTTTGCTTATCGAATGAATTCATACGCTAATTAGAATGTATCTATGATTTAACTAATTTTATAAGAAATTAATTTAAGGTGAAAATAACAATTAATGAATATAATCTTAACTTGATTTTCTATTGAATTAGTTAAAATTGATTTTATTTTATTGCATCTTACGATTTTATTTACTAAATAAATTTCTATCAGGTCACACATTTTTTCAAAATCAAATCACAGCTCTTAGCAGCAGAGAAGGCGGGTGTGGGTTTGGGTGTAAAGGTATTCTGTGGGTGCACTGACACCTACACCCTTCTAGGAATCTTAACAAGAAGTAAACTAGTTTTTTAATATGATTTACGAAACAGCAGACTTTGAAGTATAGGAGACCTAAGTTTCGTGGTAAATGAGTGAACATCTGCAGAGAGATGAAAAGATCAAAAATAGTCTATTCGTACTCTGTCACATCCCTAACAAAAAGTAAATCGAATTTTTTGAAAAATCTGGGCATGATCAGAAAAACCTTTGGATAGAGATTTTCTAGCCTTCAGAGTCATTCACAGAATGTACCGTTTAGTTTTCAAAAATGCTGTCTCAATTTGCAAATTTTTTAAACTGAAATGCATGTAGTGAAAATCGATGTCTATTTTTTTGGGTAACGTCCCTAACGCTACTTTTTTAGTAATATCTTCTTTGAACAACGGTCTATAAGGCTGTTTTTTCAGTGTACTTAGAGTAACTTAACATACATGTGGCACATAAAAACTAGCTCTAGGAAAGTTCATTATCCAGAGATATACGCATTATAGTTTTGCGAAATCACGTCCCTAACGAATGAAATGACGCATATATATGGACAAATATTACTTTACTAGATACTCTTCCAAAAGAGAGTTCCGTGTGCTTCTCGAAGTAGGACTTTGTTTATTGGTCACAGCTGATCTCAATTAGACTAAAAAAGAGTTTAAAATGATTCATAATCTTTGGTCTCCTTTCTGAAATTATCTCTATTTTACTAAAATTTCAGTTTATAGAAAAATGTTTATAGAGAAATAAAATTATGAAATTTCGAAGAATAATTTTTCCACAAATACCTCTGATGAGCGTCAGAATATCATGAAAGTTTTAGTTTAAATGGCCACTTTATTTTTGGAATATCTGTTCAACACTGAGGATGCCGAAAAAAACACAATTATAAAAGTTGTATTATTTTTCTTCATTTGAATAATTACAAAGTGTAGCGAACACTATTTTGAGATAGAAAAATACAATAATAATTGTTTTTTTTATACAGTCTGAACGTTCAAACAACGGTCAGAGCACATTGCGTCGTTCTCTGTGGCTGTATGACTTTTTCAGCGATAGTCAACTTTCGTATTGCGTATTTTGCTGCTATTGATATAGGTACCAACTTTGACTTTCTTGATTGATGTTTGTTGTCGATGAATAGCTCGAATTTCGACAAGTGTCAAACATCGTTTAAAAGCCTTGAGATTGGCTATACGAGCTTGGCTAGATGTTTCTGATAAGTTGTTGTCAGGTTTGCGTATTAACAGAATATTAAGTAAGGAATAGTATTTACGTAACAGACAAAGAGTTATATGATATTGGTCGAGTTTTGAAATACATTGTCCATCGATCCATATTTGATAATTAGACCGAGAATCAGTTCTAGTCAAAACGACATGAACCCATCGATCAGCGATCGATACGCTTTTTCCATTGTCGGAATGATATTTTTCATTACTACAAATCAAGATATTCAGGCCTTTGACGTTACAATTTCCAATTTGTATATTTAAAACATATTGATGTGGTAAGAAGAGCCAAAAAGAGAAAGAATGAGATGAGTCACAGAACGATAAAGAATAACGATGTTCAAACAGATGTTCATAATCAGATGAATCTCTTGAATAAGTCCAAGGTAGAAACTGACATTCACTTGATCGAAGCTTGATAGGCAATAATGATTGATCGATATTTAACTTCGATAGATAGTAATTTTGGTTGGAGTAAGAATAGAAGGCACTCGAAAAGGATTTTACTGAACGTTTTAATGATCGAGAAAACCATTGATTGAGAAAATCTTTGTCGTTCATAATGAAAGATCGCCAACGGCTGCAGACATACGACATTCGGAGAAGATCTATCGGCTGATCTATATACTGGATGATATGATACAATAACTCACATGGCAATCGATCCATTTTGTCTTTTGATATTCGTTTCGTGAGAGAAAATGTTGTGCATAATAGTATATCATCATATATATATATAACCTTTCGTTGTTCATGCTAAACATACATCGGACGTGTATTGTTTTCCAAGTCAGTTATTAACCAGTGAATGCCGACGCCTCAAATGATATTTATTCTTTTTCTGAGAACGTACAAATAATATTGTTCATACGTAATACCTATGGAATGGGATGAGATAAACAAGTGTAAGTGGATGAATGTGAATGTGAGATAGACATGAATATAATACTCTATCCATATCCACATTCGCACTTGCCCTTCACATATAATAACTTACGAGAGAAGTACCCCAGCTGTTTAAATTCTTTTGGCTCCATTTTATGGTTGTAAGTAGGTTTCAGTGAGAATAAGAAAATCCTAGGAGCGTTTGTACCCATGGCTCCTCCCTCCCAACATATAATCAAGTCTATGTCAATAGAATAGGCTTTGAGCGTTAATTATGTATTAGAAACTTGGTTACAGACACCATTTTATCCAGATTTCAGATCGTAACTAGACTGAATTGAGAAGTACTGAAGATTCAAGAGCTAAGTATTCGGGTGTGAGTGTGTGTATTGTCTTCACACGGAGTACATCCACACTCACACCCACCCAAACATGAATTCTTTATTCGAATTGCTCGAGCATTTCCTGTACTTAAGAATTTAAGTATCATGAACCCTATGTCACAGAATAATTGGTATTTTAATAATAATAACCATTCATATACAATCGTTGAATATCTTCATCCCGTTTCACTTGATATTACGTTTGTGCATACTGATTATATTGAGCACTTTTTAATGGAAACAAAAACATATTTATCTCGTCTAAATGAACTGAAAGTATGCTATGATGGATTAGAAATTGTTACAGAAAACTCTACACGGGATGTAACACGACGTAATTGTGCCAATGTAAAACAATTAATTACTGAAGATACATTAGTGTACTCACAAATTTATTATTTGATTAAATAAAAAATTCTCAGAGTATTCTTATTTTATTCAAGAGAAAGTAAGATATTGATAATGAATGATTGTCATCAAAAATATAGTTATTGAGAATAGAACAGCTCATATTAGTTACTTGGTTGTAATGTAATAAGTGCAATTATCTAGATTAATGGTAATCTCTCCTTTGTTTTTTGTTTTCTAGACGCGAGGAACTATATCCTTATATTGTATTAATTAGAAAAAAAAACATTAAGAAAGTGGCAAAATGAACAAAAGATCAGCTATTTGTAGATGAAATAGTAGAATGATCAGCGTGTTCGGCTCAGAAATTCGTATCGATTGCTTGTCCACACTGAGTCTATCTCAAGATGATGACATTTAATATAGTCTAGTCTCAAGAAAGAATCGTTACACATCCTTTATATGATAATGGCCACAAAATAGTAAAAATAAGATAGATCAACAATGACTATTATACTGCTGACGGGCCGATAACCGGCATCAGTTTTATCTCTGGCGCGGCTCTTAAATAATAGCATGATGTTTGTATACTTCTGTTTTGTTTTATATATCGGAAGCTACCAAACTGAGAATGATTTATCAATTCTGTCTGCCTACAAGGATGACTCGAGTCTGCAACGTGTCATTCATTACTCCAATTATCTATGTTTATTATTTTATGTTCGTGTTTTGGCTTAATTATTTTCTTCATAATAAAAACAAAAACCTCTGAATTGATGAAGACCAAATCTTTAGTAAAAAAACAAAAAAAGATAGAAGCGAAAAGATCTGTTTCGTACGAGATTAATGATTAATATACGTTTACAAAAATTTCTTATGGATCGTTGATCATAAAATATAGTGTCAATTAGTGAAGTGATTTTTTTATGAGAAGAGAACGTTCTCAACAATGTGATTATTACACTTGACTTGTGTAAATGACTTTGATTTATAGCACTGATCATGAGAAATAAATTTTACGAAAACGCGACTTGTTTTTGGAGAAAAATGTTTTCAATAAGATTGGGAACATGATGTATAATTAAAAAGATAATAGTTTTTAAATTGTTTCAGGAGTGTAAGAATTAGTCTAAGAAGAGAAATCTTAAAAAACATTTTGTTAATATATAAGATAAACTCATCAACTCAAAAATGATTAATTTCAGTCTTATTTAATATAACTCAATTTCTTGAAGTTCTTTCAATTGAAGTATTGTTGTGAAAAATCAACTTTATTTCTAAATTGCATGCTTGAAACTCAATTAGAATCTTTTAAAGATAATAATTATACAGCTAAATGTAAGCATATAACCAACAACACAACAATATCTACATTATTCATTCTATTAGATTAAAACAATTCAAAAGAAATAATTCCGATAAAAAACATACGAAATAATGACTATTCTTTTCTTACTGTAGTAGGATTAAATAAATATTGAACAGAATAAAAATGTACAAAACTTGGATTAACAGTATCGGTTCATAGCATGTGCTATTAACAGCAACACCTTTAACAAGAAAATAAAATTAATTTTTAAATTAAAAAAAATTTTAAAATCATACAAATAGATAAATTGATAAAGATAAAATGTCAAATGAATAAATAAAAATACAACACATGTGATAGATGATACACGGCCCCTCACTAAAGTACATCTAAGTTTTCTTCTTTAAGATGAGATTTTTCAAGAAAAAGTGAGAGTACGGTCAGGAAGAAAACAATTTTCTCTATCGACTTATATAGAAACAATTATTTGATCGTACGAAAAACATACAGTCTTGCATTTCATATCGATTAGCTATTCTTTACATACTTCATTTGATCGGATGTGAATCATCATAAAAGAGTACAAAGGAAAATTCGCCAGTATTCACACACACATTTAATGGGATTATTTAGATATTAACTCATCAAGGAGTTTTCAAGAGAAAAAGTTTGGAATTGATGCTTCTTGATTACAAGAATTGAAGCGAGAGGCGTCTCAAAGATTATGTATTCCGTAGCAAAAATTGTCTTTGGAAGACATAATATTAATCCAATATAGTGACTGAGTGTTGGGATGTAGTTCATGTCATAACGAATAAACACGTATTCCTTCAGAGCATTCTCGTCAGCCTCTTTATGGAAGTTCTAAAAGATGACTCACCAGAAAAAACTCAACTTCTCAAAGCAGATAGATCTTGAGAATAGAGCAAAAGTTATCACAAAGTCAAAATTTTCGGATGTTCCTTCCAGGACACACCGGATCGCAATGGCTAAAAATGACTCTTTTTATCGCTCCTCTTTCTCGCTCGCAAGGAATTTCATAAGACTGGAAATGTTTTTACAGATATCGAACCTCATTTGAGTGCCTGCTTTTTTAATTTCTTTTTATTCCCTTTTGTTCGAATAAACGCTACAAAATACTGAGAACGGCTTGAGAAAATGTATAAAATTACATGTTTTTTTTTTACTATAAGTTTTTCAGTAGATCCTCGCAAAACTCGAAGGTATATCATATTTTGAAACAAAAAAAAGGCATACTAAACACTTTCTACTATTACTAATATTAGAATTTTAAAAGAAGGAAGTCGGAAGGAAAGCTTATAACCTTCGAGCAGAAAGTCATAGCGATCTGCGGTTTTCACTATTCAGTAGAAGACAATCGGAGCACATCTCGATGCATGAAAGTATTTTCCGAAAGTACTTGTTCTGGGCTAATTTTAGTAGACGAAATTAAGAGCAAATTAGTGACTTTTCAGAGGAAATTTTTTTCACTAGATTTGTGTTCCTATACGCCCTCTTCACAGTGGTATCTAAGCAATGTTGAGATTTTGCTTCCTTGAAACGTTAGAGGTCTTTTAAGAGAACAATTACATGTAAGACACTCTTCACTGAAAAGAGAAAAACCAATCACAATATAGGTTTTCGATTATACTAATCAACGTGAAAGGGTTTATTCTGTTTAAGGCTTAAAGTGTTTAGTCTCTCTCGATGCATGAGTCTATCAATATGCAACACTATAGTGCTTCGACAGGAAATTCAGGGTAACGGTTGCTTGTTTGATCAGCTTTCTTGCAATGTTCGGTTGGTTATTTTACGACTATACTTAGATATCTGTTAGAGAACAATATAGACTATATAATGATATTATAATATTAGCAGATTATGATATTGGCTTTGTAGGAGACATAACTTAAAATACATGTGAAACGAAGTGTGACATGAATTTTATCAATTTTTTAAGTTTACCTACTGGCTAAAGAGATACTGTTTGAGATGTCACTGTTTAATAAAATTTATTCAATGTTATTGTCGGCATTTATATTAATGTCTCATCTGCAGGTTTTACATGATTTATAAACCCTTCTGACAAAGGATTGTCATTATTGAGCATATTGCAGTATTCATAAGAATGTGCAATCATTTATTTGCCTTCTTTTGCTTGCGACTAGTACCAAGATGATAACCACTATGACCATGATTATGACTCTCCCAGTTGGGACCAATGTTCATTTTCTTTCATAATAGAGTCATAGATAACAATTAAACGAAACACTATTGGCAAATGATAGCAGCTGTGTTCGGGTATATAATGGACTTGTAAAAATATAATAAATACGTAACAGTGAATTTGAAAAAAATCAAAATAAGTCCAAAGATAGTTATACGTGGAAATGAATGATTATTTATATTTACTAATAGCTGGTACTTTTTGAAATAGTCTTAATTGTAGCTAGGGTTCGGCTCAATACATCCAGAGCAACAATACATGATAAATATCTTTGGTTGTACAGAAAAAAACAAAAGACCAAAAACATCTATAATTAAAAGTATCAAAATGTCTTCTTTACTATTGTGAGCAATTACAAAAGTCATTTTTTGAGAGATAAATCCTCGAAAGATATACTGCATACTATATATAGAAGTTTGATTTCTTTCCTTTTCGATATGGACTTGGTTTACAAATCAGTCAAATCTAACACCTGAAACGAAATATAACATCTTGATAGAACAAGCACTATATAAATAAAACGACCTGTCATTGGGTCAAGGTAATATTATAATAATAATTGTTGAACACATACAAATACATTCAGCTGAACTGATTGATGCTTTTGTATTTGATCTTTACAATTATTTACATAAGAAACGTATTAATAACTATCTTTCTGATCCTGCACCTATTTATATACACATAGCACTAGAATTTACTAGAAGAGATCTCAAAACATTTGTTGATGCCGTACAACGAAGTTCTTTTGGTGAATAAGAAACTCAAAACAGAAGTTTATCTTAGTCAAATGAATATACTAATGGATAGTGGAGTGTTAATACAATTTTATGCTGAATTTAATGCAATTACAATTGAACTAGTTAATATGTTGGAATTGATTGAAAATGATTGGTTTAATAAGATATGGAATGATTTCTATCGTATCAAAAAAGTATCAGATCGAGATGTTAATCCAATTATTGGTTCAACTCGCACAAGCATGTGATATGTCATTATTGGAATTGCATCAACAAATCTCCTTTGTCAGTCAGAATTCGTCATATAATGATAATAGTAGAACTTGGCCTCGTGAGGTATATAATTATAATCTATTATTCAAAACTAAGTTGTATTAAAACTGAATATTCATCGAATTCTAAGAAGATGCTGTTTATTGAGACGGATATTGATGAAGAATTTGAGAAAGAAATTCACCAAACTTAATGAAATATCACATTTATGTCTTAGAAGAAACTTTTTTTTTTGATAGTATTCAAACAGTTTCGAGTAGTAGCAATTACAGTGGAAAAATCAAAATTCTCACTCAAATTAGTTACTAAATGGCTTAACTTGTCGATTTAATATTAGCGTGTCCTTGTGGCGTATATGATAAACGCATCTGGTTGTTTATTCGAACGATAAGTGGTTTTGATTTATTCATTATTCATGTGCATTTTCTAATATCTTATTTGTTAAAGTATGAGTTTGACATATTTCTATCATTTATCCTTCATCATATTCAAATCACATACTGAACTAAAAATTTAGTTTTATTTAAAAAATAGTAAATTATTGAAGAAAATTATTAAGTTCAACAAATATATTACTTTTAATTGAAAATATTTTCATTTGATACTCATTCATTTCGATCTTTTCGTTTCCTCTTTCATTCATAGTCTGATTGATATTATCAACATTAGAAGTTTGTTGTTCTTCTTCTTCCAGAAATTCTTCAATCATAAGTAGAAATGGATCAATTTCATTTAATAGTCGTTTCTGTCTCAAGAAATTAGTAAATCCATCAGATTTGAAAAGGAAACTATGGAAAGAGTTCTTTAACTTATCGTTTGAGAGATCGACTTGTTCGTTAAAAATCTATGCTACACTGTGAATTTAATCAAAAAAATTTCTTTCATCAAAAGAATATAGATAATGATTAGCTGCTTTGTTTTTAAACTTTTATACGAAACAAGACATGAATGTAATTGAAAATATCGAAATCATGAATCATTCAATGTATCAATTCAAAGTTCATAAACGAATTATTGAATTCTAAATTATTATTTTTTACTTGTTTATATTTTAAAAAAGAACATTTTATAGATGATAATTATGAACAAAAAATAAATTTAATAGAATCAATTACACGAATATAACTTGAAATGTAATTGTTTCTCTCACATTATACAATTTTCTTTGTATTTCTATTATTTTCTTTATTAATTGTTGATCTTCTGATATATTTCTCTTCACTTGTAATGTTATTTTCTTCAATCGATAACATATATTTGCAAATTTCGTCCATTCATTTGCATTTAACAATTTTTTGAGAGTGTATTCATTAATAATGATGAGATGAATATGTCGAACATTATGAATTTCTCTGATAAAATCAATTATTATCATTAAAAAACATGATTTTTGAAATTTCCAACATTCATACATTGGAGAGAAAGAAAGATGCCTAATATCAAGCAGAAAATATTCAATTGTATAATTTCTAAGGTATTCCATATTGTGTTCATTGATATGATAATGTTTACAAACCGGTCCATTACAACGAATTTCGAATCGTTTAATTGAACTCCAAAATTGAGAACAGATTTTATTCAACATATCAAAATTGACTTGATTGTCATACCATAGACAAAGACGAATTAAATTAGGAAAATATTCTTTGTATTCATTGATTGAATTCATTGATTGATAGTTGAGAAGAGTCAATGAAATAACGTTCATAAAAATAATTGACGAGTTTAATTCTTTCATTTTTGAGAACGAATTTGTATTAAGATGTAAGGAAATAATTTGTTGAAGTTTAATTTTTCGAATAATCATATTGATAAATACATAAGAAGGTTCAGAAATATGTACTTTTGTTTTATATTTATGTACGAAAGAAAGAATATTGTCCGAAAATGCATTGATTGCGTCGTTTAATGAAAGATATTTGGTTATTTCAAAAATGACTTCCCAACACAAATCAGTTCTAGTAGTAAAGTCAAATGACTAAAACGAAATTAATTAAAGATATATGAAGTTATCAAAGACTTACTAAAATTTGTTCATTTTCATCGAATTCTTCCTTCAAATTGATCAATTCCCCTAGTAAAGTTTCACGAGTTAATTTTTCTTGAGTACATGTTAATGTATCACCATTGAGTAATATTTTGACTTCATATTCGGATGTTAATGACCAATCTTTTGCTCTTGCAGATCGTCGCATAATTCCAATAAGCATTGGACATTGTTCAGCAAGAGAAATGTTCAAGAATTCAGTAGAAAATACTTCTCTCCAGATTTGTATCAACCTATTTATTTAGAAAATAAAAGTTTTTCAAATGAATATATAGTAAAATGAAGGAAATCAATCGCTTACTTATTTTTATTTAATTCAAATGTAATATCCCAAGGCCAAACAATATAATTTTCAAGTAAATATTCAATAATAATTTCCGAACAGAATATATTTAAACAAAATATATTACTAAATATGCTCCGATCATGATGTATATAGACAAGTACTGGACGATGCTAAAAAAGAAATAATCTTCTGTATTTTATATAATGATAAAAGGAAAGATAAACGAACTTCTTTAATCACTTTTGAAGTGAAAGCTGCTTGGCAAGCATCTTGAAGTGAACCCGGAAAAAACATCGGGCAAAAATTGTAACGACTGATAAAACATGAGTTAAAACATTCAATATCAACAACTTCATTTTTACATTCATCAGAATCTTCGATTAATATAAAAGTTAATAAATTTAATTATTTTTGAAATTAGTAACTTACAAGAATCATAATCAAAAGTATTATCATCACTTATTTCTTCATCATCATCCTATATAAAAAAAAGGAAAATGAAAATTTGCAGATATCTCCTAAATTATTTTTTGTAAACTTGAAAGGTATACTTACAAATGTAGTCGATCGTTTGATCATTATCATCAGTAATAGAGATTCACAATTACAAAAACAGATATTTGTAGAAAAAAAATGATCTTGTCAATTGAATTATTATTTTATCATATTGGAAACGAGCAAGTTTATTTTTCCAAACAAAATAAAATGTGTCATACTTTTTTAAATATTTATATATGTGAAGAGAATGAATCGGAGACAAGACAACAAATCGGACGTGTTCTATTTCTCTACTTTCGAACTCACATATCCTGCTACTATGTCTGGACTATAGTCCAAAACATGTAAATACCTATCATGTCTAGTCTGTTTCGTCTGTTCAATCCGTTCAAACTGTAGTCAGCGGAACAGAGAAGCAATTACAATTAAATCACAGATTGTCACTAATATAAGGCGTCTAAATAATAAAATAATACTTGATAATGTCAATGGATAATGCACTTGAGAAAAGAGGAATAAATATCAAATATTGTGTGAGTTTACTTCGTCATATTTTACAAGCTTTACAAATCCCACATATTATACATATTTACAAGGAGAACTTTATTTAACAAGGAAAACAATATAAATTTTTGGTTTTTTATTCAAATATGCAACGAGATTATTTAATTTATCCTTCAATGATTGGAGTTCAATGAAAAGTTATATGGTTATATAATAATCCTTTAAATGTTTTATCTAATCAATATAATGATTTATCAGTATGCCTTTGGTATATATCACCATTACATTCATTACATGGTACCTTTGGAATACAATATGCTCTTCTTGATAAATGGAATAAATGGATAGCTGTTAGTCGACAACGATTTACATCAATAGTTACAGATACTAAAAAAAAAATTCAACAATAATCACTGTTCAAGATGTTTCATCTGAAGTAATTCCAATTGTTGTTTTTTATTCAACTTTACGTTCTGTTACTGTCAACTGTCCTATTTCGGCAATGGAAGGTCAAGGTTACGTACCTTACCATTATTTCATCAGATGCCATTTGTTCTTAGATAAACAAAACGATAGATTGATTCATTTTGTACTTAATAATTACATTAGATTTTGAGAACTATACATCAATTCTAAAAGTCTAAATAAATTGATTATCATAATGAAAGATCAGTTAATATTTCTATTAATCCAAACAGATAATTCCATTTCGTGCTTATCAATATATTTCATACTAAATAAAAGATTTAATTTATATGTTTCTTTTTTTAAATCAAGAATGAAAATAATCATAATCATTTATTTTGCATAAATAAGCTTCTAAATTCAATAATTTTGGTAAATAATTTAATAAATATAATAAACCATTTGCTTGATCAATACTACATTTTAGGTGTTCAATATTTGAAAATATTTTGCAAACAAATATCATACTTACAGCTACACCCGCCCACACCCACACTCCCGAAGTCACTCGACAAATGACAAAAATAGAACGATATTCAAAACACACATATATAGATATTCGATTTGATGAGTTTTATTCAACCTGTTGTAAAATATAACGAAAAAAACTATACCAAGTAGCAAAAGTAATAAGATATGGCTAAAATGTATCCTTTATTAGTGGTTTAAATGAAGAGGAAAAAGCAGAAGAAACAAAAAATATAATGCCAATTAAAAGTAAAACTATGATTATTAGAATAAATAGACGATGATGAAAGGGGTTTTGTTCGATGTTGTTGAAAGAACTAGAACAGATATCTGTCTTTGAAATATGATTGTCAACATTCATAGGCATTTCATGTATTTGAGTGCTGTGGCATTGTTCTATAACGTGTAATATTTGTTGATCGCAGTTCGTAATAAAATTGATTACTACACATTTTTCAGAGAATCGACTATCATGGTTAATACTTAAAAACATAAGAAAAAGTAAACATAAAAATACTAAAACATGTATGCTAACGATTTTCGATCTTACCGATGAATATAATTTTCGGATTTGCTGGGTAAGTCATAATTAATAATAAGACTAACTTGTGGTATCTCAGTGATATGTGTAGGTGAATCAGTTGTATTTAAAGTACGACTACGACCTGTTCGAGATTTTATCATAACAACATGAGGTTCTATTAGGTCTATATCACCATGCTAGAATGAAGGTAAAAAGGGCAACAGAGTTGTGTCACTACTTATTTTTCTAATCCACTCAATTACATGTATGAAGCCAAAAGAATCCGAATGGTTGATAGCATTAGTCACAACTCCGCAACGAAAATGACAACAAAATGTCAACAGTAAACTTACCATGGTGGATACAGTAAAATCTCGTGAGCGCAACTTTTTTGTTAACCATTTAACTTTTCGACGTGTGTTGCAAAAAATAACAGCTCGTTCAATCAGGAAAGTTTTGTAAAAGTCACAAAGCATATCTATTTTCCGTTTCTAGACGATATTCAAATAAAAATCTAGTCACTGTTTCGTAAGATTTTGTCTATTCGTTTTACCTTACGTTCGACAAAAACATAAAATTGACGAATATCCTCGAGAGTTAATTTATTTTTAACAAGAATTTTAATCGGATTCTTCGTGAATTTAGTTGTCACTTCGAGTACGTCGCTTGGCATAGTAGCTGATAGAAGAATAACTTGTGTGTTTCGTGAAATGATTGTAAATATATCACTGATTTGGTTTTTGAAACCATGTGATAACATTTTCTCAGCTTCGTTTAATATGAGCAATTTGATATTTTTTCTATCTAAGATAGAAATAAAGATAATCTATCGGAAATATTCACTATCGAACACCTACGAGGAACTGATTCATTAAGCATATCGTAAACACATTCTGGTGTACCGACAACAAATTGAATATCTGTTTCAAGACGTTTCATATCGTTACGAGTATTTGTGCCATCGATACAAGCATGGCATGCAACATCTATATGATGACCGAGAGCTAAAACTATTTTTTGAATCTGTACAGATAAGAACACAAAGAAAAACAATCATTTGCAATTCAAAAGACTCTTGAATCATTTGAATTTACTTCTTGAACCGACACTCGAGTGGATGTTAAAATAAAAACTTGATAATCCTTAACCTTATCATCGAGTTGTTGTAATACCGAAATAGCAGACGTTTTCATTTTCTTTGTACCCGACTGTGCTTGGACGCTAATATCATGGTCTATAATAATGAGTAATAATAACAGAAATAGAAGAGCTTGCTAAACATACTTACCGGAAATACATCGTTTGATTGCACGTTGTTGAACAGCAGCCAGTCCTTCAAAATCGTAATGATTAACACCAGGTATAAGTGGTTCACGTAAATTCCTAGAGATAGCAATAAATAAAGGAAGCGAACAGCAAGCAGAGATTAAAAGAAGAAAAGCAGAACGAATCGTAGTCGCTCTCATATATTTGGTTTGATTATTGACATAATCTAATGTCATATAAATAATAAAAGAAAGTCAATATATAATGTTTTTATAAAAGAAAAACAATAACACATTCTCTCTAGCATCGAGTGTGGTATGCGTTTCCAGAGTCAGACAAGTTGTATGAGCAAAATGTTGAATTATTCAAGATGTTTCTCTCTCTGATAAACTAAAGAGCATCTAGTTTACATCAATATAGAGGCTCTGTGCAAATGAAATTTTTTTCTTTGCATTAAAAAACCGAGTTTCAATTATTTCTTTACAAATCATCATTTTCTATAGAAATTTCTATTATGTAGCTATGTATGTGACTGCGGTTGAGATTGTATTTTTTTTCTACATTCGTACTTGATTGAATTTTCTAGAATAATATTTTTCTTAATATGTTCTAAACAAATAGTAAAAAAATTTTTATAATTAATATCATTACTATCTGCTCGCATAAGTGTAAATATGAATAGCCAATTTGTGTAAACTTACACCAACGGCTCTGTATTGTTCGACCACGAAAACGATCATTATTGGTAAAAAGATATCGAGCAAAACAAACCGTACTTTTTACTTAAGTACACTGTAGTAAATTTTGATTTAAGTAAATATACTTCGCAAAAGTACAAAGAAGATGTTTTGAGTAAGTATCATTTGTGCTTATACTTACCGTATTGGTGGCGGACCAATGTCTGAATCATCTGACACATGAGAAATAATTTTCCTTTCGATAGCATCAGTCAACAGCTCCGCCCAAACAGGATCATTTTCTGCAATTTTTGTCAGATTACCAATAATATATAAAGCACACTTTGCACGAGTCAATATAACATTCAATCGTCTCATATCTCTCAAGAAGCCGATTTTATTACCACTTCGAACGCATGAAACAATGACAAAATCCTTTTCTTTGCCTTGTGCACCATCGGCAGTCAGGACTTCCACACCAATGGGGAGAATTTTTTGAAGAAAATGCTGTTGAGCACGATATGGAGTAATAACTGCGATTCGTCTTTCCACTTTGCGAAAATCATTCGAATGAATATCTCCTGGTCTGCGTTCCACCAAATATTCAATCAATCTACAGCAAAGCGCTTTAACAAACCGCGCTTCATTTTCGTTTACTATTGAGCGATTATTGTCTCTTCTTTCTCCATCTACGTTTCTATTGTAATAATGGAGCGGTTGAAGATCAAACATCTGCATGCCTTTATCCACGGATGGATCAGTTTTCAAGTTTCCTCCGTAAAATTTTTGATTTGGAAAAGAATAAATTTCTGAATGCATTCTGTACTGGATAGTCAGTTTCGTGATTGCATCGCTTTCCGACAGAACACCGTATAGACGCTCATACAGCGATTTTTCGAGACCATTCTTTCCAGCAACATTGCTAATTACTGTCGGCGGCAATTGCTTTGGGTCTCCGACAAGAATTATTTTTGCACAATTAAATCGTAGAGGGATCAGAGTATCTGCCAGTAAACCCTGGGTAGCTAGAATACGAAACAATATATTGTTATGTTATTATGATTCTAATCAAAATATACACATATGTTTGTGTTTACCTTCATCAATTATTACGAAGCCAACCTTACCAATAAGTGACAGTAGCCGCGAACTGGCACAGTTGTTTAATGTGGAAACAATTACTCGAGCCTTTTTCAATACTTTTGCTTGATACTTGCCTATATTCACAGACTCTAGTTCGGGCTCTGTTTTGAGGCGTCGGAAAATTTTATCCAGTATGATAAAGCTAAGAAAGTGATTACAGAGTTCTTCGTCATTCGGCGGTTGAAAGCCAACGCGAACGAGAGTATGTCGACCTACATCAATCATTTGAAGTTATCTTCTAAAAATAATCTCAATTTGCCCTACCTAGCCTTTGCTCTTGTGGTATTATTGCAAGTATACGACGCGATAATTCGTTACATGCATTATTTGAAGGTGCGCATATCAGTATTTTCTGTCTTTCGAACAACTTCTTTGATAATAAATTTTGAACTACTCCAGCAATGGTTGTACTTTTTCCAGTACCTTTACGAAAAGGAGAAACAAGAACATTAGTCAAATTAGTGAATAGTGAAAGGTTGTGTCTTACCTGGCGGACCAAGAACTAAATGTAATCGTTCTACATGATCAGCATACATATGCTCAGCAATATCAATTATTTTGGTTTGTTTCAAGTTGTAGCCATGCTTCTCTTCTGTTGGCTTAGAAAAGGTACTAGTAAGTCCGAAATATGTATCTTTAACCTTTGGAAATATTAGAGAACAACTATGGGAACAATTGTCAAATTCATTAATTGCTTGAATCATGCGAGCTGATGATGTAATGTTACTAATTCTCAGTAGTGGAATTTCTAATGTCATTGTTTTTCGTTGCTTTGCAACAACTTTGGCACATTCTTCGGAGCAATAAATGCCAAGAACAAGACGCAGTATGGCCCTTACTACTTTATCTACTGTACTACTAGCTGTCGTTGAATACGCATTTCTTCTATGTTCCTTGATTCGTATCTGTCGCACATAGATAATAACACCAAAATAGTTCTTTCCATTGAGAGTCATACGAAGAACATCGAATAGACTAGGTGCTTTGGTCGAATGTCTGAACGAATCATCTAAACAGTAGACATCAGAGCAATATGAAGGAATCGTTGCAAAAAGTCTTACCAATTGTCGAATCAACTGTTCCCACGATAATAGCAGTTTGTTTCGTTCCGCATGCTGTAGACATTTTCTTCATATCTTTCACACTGATCACTGTTGTACGATCTTGAGGGGACACTGCATCATTTTGGGAACCATGCAACATAGAAGCCCACGTTTCAGAATAATGTAATGTTGTGAGACTGGAACAGAATTTCGAAAATTCAGCTTGAATTTTTAAATTACTACTTGAATGATTTAACGCAGTACCTATTTGATTCAACGGTTTAAATGAATTTTGTGTTTTGTTATAATGTAATTCTCTTGCACAAATGTTATTTTCGCCAAGTAAATCTGGATTCCATTGAGTGACAATTATATCAAGTAGCTTACGAACAGAAGAACTGGAATTCTGTCCCCATGTCGATGCTCCTATAAATGTTTGTCTATCCGAATGACTTTTTAATTTGTCATCTGGATCTATATAACTGACGCGAAATCCTCTGAGTTTCTTTGTATAGCATTTGGATAACAGATTTATTAATTGAGCTTTCCGCCAAAGTTCTCCGTCGAATCCATTCCGACGTTGTTCTAACCAAACACAGTTAGAATATGGATCACTTTTCGTGGTCATATCTTTATTTGTTTACATTGAATAAACTGATCTATAATGTAACAGAAAGAAAAGAAATATAATTGAAAATCGTTTTGTCTCTTATTAATTTTTCGAACAGTTGATGCTATAGAATACAAAGGAATGGTCAAGTAGAATGATGAGATAATTTCATTCAAAGACGAGTATGTTTTGAAGATTTAACAACTCATCCCTTTGTGGATAAGCGAAATTTGCATGCTGACTATCTTTTGCAAGACCATTGACAGAAGACTTTGCTATATTTTCTTCAAAGAAGTCTTTTTGATTTTACCGAAGAAAGTCAACAAACAGCTGTGTTTATGTTATATTCCATGAATTCTAAAACGACCTTTGTTATCATCGACTTCCTTTATTCGTAAGTCTTCAAGAAATCATTTACTTTCATAAAATTTCCGATGATTAGAGCATTAAAAAAATGTAACGTTTTCAAATGGTAGAAGAAATGATCACAGGCGAAAGCAAACTGGCTACCGAAATGAATTTGAGCCTCTGTAAGTATTATGGGTATCACGTTTCAATTAATTTAAATAAATATAAATTAAATTACAATATTCTTATATGACATTTTAAGAAGTATACGAATCTGAATTTCGAAAATTGTTTCGATTTTGCTCTGATATTCTGAATTTTGATGAGTTTTAAGCATTTTTAGTTTGTAGGTTTACTATTGAAACTAACTACAACTAGAACTACTTAATATTATTGGTCTGTATTGCACTATCTTGTTTCCTTTCTTAATTTTTTGTAGTGTCTGAGTTCTGCAACTACTGATAAATGTTTTTAAAATATCAGTAAATCAATACGTTGCTCAACTTAAGAATAAATTCTAATTGTTTTTTGAATGACTTTTTAAACACATTTTAGCTAACAAATATTAATTGAAGAAATATGACTTTTGCTAGTTCTTTTGCATTAACTAACCAAGGAAGACCGTGTGACTACGAACTAACGAAATTGGTCATAGTCGAATTAAACGAATACTCTCACTCATAGACCAACTAATTAAAAATATGACCTACCAATAGCTTACATAGAGTGAAATGTTTACATTTCATGATATTTGCGCAGTTTGTCATGTATCTAATTATACTACGAAGTATTATATATCCTTATTTTTCTTTTTTCATCATGAGTGAATGCGATGCGACTTTTTTCATACGGACAAGTAATATGACGCAAATTCAAAAGAAATTTGACAGTAATTATAAATTTTTGTTCATTAACCTTATAATTAAAAAAGATGTTATTGTAGTCTTCATAAAATTTGCCGTGTAATATGCCTCATATTGTTTTACTTTTCTGATGTAAATAATTGTGCTCCATTTAACCATGAAGAAAAGGAAAATTAATTGTTAGTGAAGTATGTATTGAAAATACCGAAAGAAAAAATGTCGAAGGAAAAAACATCGAAAAACAAACGTCGAAGGAAAAATAGTCGAATGAAAAAAAGATCGAATAAAAAAAAATGTCGAAGTAATGAAAAGTGATGTTAGACATAGGCGGCACGCCAGCAATACAATAGTTAGCAATTGTAACCCCTAAAACAAATTATTGGAATCAATAAGAACTTATTACTTCCTCTAAATTTTCATGCTTCTTGTGTATTCTAGAGTAAAACTACTTTATTCAACATACATATATTCGATGTAATTCTGTATTTTATGTATGCAGATTGAATTTTAGTCTCAAGAATTGTTTATTGCCATCCTGATGTATCTATTTCCTGCAATATACATCGAGTGTTCCATAAAAAATGGCCAATTTTTCTATTTCATATTTTAATCTTTAAATACATTTTAAAGAAGCACAGAAAATAGCACTAGATGCAGTGTAAAGATCTCTGCAGGCGCAAACAAAAGCTTATTTTAACTGTATACTTGGTATTTTTTGAAAATAAATAGAACTCTGCGTAATCAATTTTCGACGCTGCGCAAAATGATCTCACAGATTTTTGGTTCTTTTCAAAACATAAAGTATACAATTAAAAAAGCTTTACTTTTTACACTAGAATTTTTTACGCTGCATCTTGAGGTATATATGATAAAACCAATTAGGTGATAAAAGGATGACATAAGAAAAAAAATGACTTGCTTATTGGAATAGAAAAATGATCTTTTAGGTACAATGGAAAGTATTCTCACGGAATTTTGCTTTTTTTTTGAAAACAAAAATTACACAACCAAAATATGCTTTACTCTGCGGATTGTAGATCTTTTCACTCTGCACCTTCTGGTGTATTATACTTTTTTAAAGAAAACATATTAAGAGATATACCGATAAAATAAGAGCGAAGAAATGGTTTTTTGACACCTTCGAAAAGTGGTCGTATAGAATTTTGTCTTTTTCAAAATCAAAATTAAACAACCAAAAGCAGTCTTGGTTTGCGAATTGTAGAGTTTTTCCCGTTGCATCTTGTGGCATACTCGGTTTTTTAATAAAGATTTTTAAAGATTAAAATCTGAAATACAAAAATCGATCATTTATTATGAGACACCCGTTTGAACAAGATTATGAAATTGATATTGATGCCATTGGAACTGCTTTTCCATCGAAAAAAGATAAAAGAAAAATATTTTTTTGAAAATGAATAAAATAATTCTATATCATTCTCGAACAAGAATGTATTTTTTCCTATTAATAATAAACATTTGTGAACATGTAATAGTGATTGAAGACTACAATTGAAGAAGTAAACATACTGAATAAAAAGTACATATACTAAGTACAGCAGATTTAATGCACTATTGGAGTAGTTAACGCTCGAGCTTTGCATACAGCACATTCGAGAAGTTCAGTTCTCATTAAAAAAGTTTTTTGCATCGGACTGAGCAAGGAGAAGAGAGTAGAGCTCATTTAACAGTTTATTGCTACCCCTACAAAACTGACCTTGCGCCGCCCATGATGTTAGATGAAAAATATTAAATATTTATTTTATCTGATTGGAAAAAAAGAAAAAATACGTTTATTGATAATGACAAGTAACTATTAAAAAAACGAATAATTTGAAAGGTTCAGATGTGAGTGATTTTTATAAAGTTTATGTGAGCAGGTGATCAGAATAAGCAGCCATGACCGGTTTCGACCTTGCTTAAGGGTCTCATCAGATGGCTTTTTTTTATATTCGTCATCACAATTTTCATACTGTGTTCTCTATTCTAGGAATCGAATGCAGCTTCATCGTCATTTTATGATGATGAATATGAAAAAAAAGCCATCTGATGAGACCCTTAAACAAGGTCGAGACCGGTCATGGCTGCCTATTCTGATTACCTGCTCACGTAAACTTTATAAAAATCACTCACATCTGAACCTATCAATTTATTCGTTTTTTTAATAGTTATTTGTCATTATCAATAAACGTATTTTTTCTTTTTTTTCAATCAGATAAAATAAATATTTCATATTTTTCATCCAACATCACTTTTCATTACTTCGACATTTTTTTTCTTTCGACTTTTTTTCGTTCGACCTTTTTTCCTTCGACGTTTGTTTTTCGATCTTTTTTCCTTCGACATTTTTTCTTTCGGCGTTTTCATAGTAAATCGTTGGTGAAATTTCGTGGAATGAGTACATCATAAACTATAAATTTCTTGAAACTTGAATATCTCAATCTGTATACGTTATTGACAGCTTATATTTTTTATTGGTTGGTTTAAAAGTAAGGGTGTGGGTGTGGGTGTGACTGTTATTGAATAGAACTTTGACACCCACACCCATACCCTTAGATATCATTACAAACATATTTTCATTGAATATCAATACGATTCAGTTGATATCATTAGTTTCTTTTATTTCATCATTATCAGATGAAACTTTTTTTCATTTTTTACACCAAAAATTGACATTTCTGATAACATAAAAATAAAGAATTGTGATATAGTATTAAATGAATCATTATTTTTCTTGACAGTTATTTTTTTGTAATGAAAATATCGTTTTTTGAAATAATAAACAAGATACGAATATTGAACTTACCAAGGAAGAAATGAATTTATAGTATTATGAATTTCTTTGTCTTCTTGTATGAAACATAAAAGGAATAAAAAATGTTCACTAACGTCCGCAGCAATAAAGAATAATCAGAACTTTTTTTTCAATGTGTTCTTAGCTCATTAAGATCCGTGTGGTATACATAGTCTTGAATCAAGACTGATTTGACGCTGAGAGGCATTACCTCATCCGCTAATAAATTGAACAATATTTAATATTTAAATAAACCAAAATGAAATCAATGCGACAAACCTAGAAGTGAGTAACAAACATAATTTTTCCGAATACAAACCTACTATAATTTTTGATATTGTAACAATTAGAGATTTAAAAAGAAATCTGTATTTCTTAAAATTGAGGGTGTGGGTGTGTGTGAGTGTGGACGTATATTTGCGGCTGGGTGTGAGTGTCGATGTGGGGTGGGTGTAGGTGTGAGTACGACTAAAGATAAGATGCGCAAGCACTTACATCCACACTCACACCCATTCCCAAATCCACATTCTCACCCACACTCCAATTTCGTCATATCCGATACACACTCGATCAGAATATTCAATAATCTCGAACGACTTTGAAATACATTAGAGTCCCTGAAGTTTTTTCTATTTGTCCCAATTTCTGATAGAATAGACACTACCTAAGAGCTAGTATGTGTACATCTTTATTGGAATATCAAGAATCGTGCTGTACTGCATTCTCCTCGCCTCTTATATACTATAATGTAGTATAGAATGTCCTTGGAGCATACAGCAAGGAAGAACAAAGTACAGGTATGAAAAAGAGATAAACGCTGTGCACGAGGGAAGTCATCAGTGTTATTCCAAAGTGCATGTAGGAAGAAGAAGAAGAGCCAAATGCTAAGCACGCAGAAGAGACACAACACTATTATTCTGAAGTACATATAGGAGGAGAAACGAAGGAAAGTTCTGCAGGGCGAATTTTTAGTTTTAGCCCTGTTAGACATTTAATGGAACATGCAGCGAAAAGAAATAGAAAGGAGAAAAAGATGATCTTTGTAGGATTCTAACCCACACCTTCTGCTATCCGGGCAGATGTTCTAAGCCAATTAGACTAGAAGGACACATCTTAATCTCAGTTTAGCGTCGGAGTGAACTATCATCGACGGTAACAAGCCCTGCTCTTAGGGCAGGGCAGAAAAAGTGCCGTGCGACGGTCTCTGCTTCCCATTCCGATCCAGAGTCCTTCCGCATTTTAGTTGAATTCTAGTCAAAACAAATAGCAACTCCATGGATGTTTCTAGTTTTGTTTTTAGATGATAAACCAGAGTATATCATAGTGTAATCATTGATTTATTTCACACCGCAATTATACATATAAATTTCACTAAGAGCAGCTATTTGTATCTTATATTTGTTTAGCTGTTTAATAATGAGATCTTTCTTCGATCGTCTTACGCATGCTCTCATGTTTCATCCACCGAAATATACATGTTTTTGTGCGTTCGCGCACAATTTCTGATTCTTTTCATCAGCAAATGGAGTTTAATGCCTGACCATCGAATTGCTAGCACGAAAACTCGACGGTTGGCTACCGGCAACCAATGGCCTCCTTCCCACCACTGTAAACAGCAGTGGACCCCTGTAGGAATTCGAAAATTCATCTGGCAGGCGGCGTGAAAATAGACAACATGTATTACTCTAGATGTTGGCTGTTTTCGTAAAAGTGCGATGTCAAACGATAAAATTTCGATGAATAATGATATATACTTAGTAATATTAGGTATTAAGAATAATACAAGAAGAAAAAATATTGTTGATATCTTTTTCTTGTGTATACAGCCTTAACAGTGTTGTTCAGATTGAAGTTAAGAACAAAATCAGACGGTCTCATCATCATTTTTGATATGAAATGGTGTCGTTTTTTTCTTTTTATTATGTCTTTTTGAGAGATGTAGTTACATAAACATGAAGGCAGATCATGCGTTTATTTAAACAAACATTTTCTTTTGTAATCTATCGAATAGCATTGTTATTTGAAGGTCACAATAATCTTCAATTTCTCGAATATATCAACCAAAAAAATCTAGGAGAAAATATTTATTATATAAAATCTACATATTTTTGGTTTATTAATTTAGTTCAAAAATAAATTTATCGTTTGAAAAGTTTCTTTTCAATAATAAAAAAAGGTGTTTCAAAAAATATAGTCACTAGAATTGCTGCAGTATAACTAAAAAATATATGTGAAACAAAATTATTGACAACAAGATGTCCTTGATAATATAAAGGCATTGTTTGATTGAATAAAATTATAAGAATAATAGTAGCATGTACGAGATAACATGAATAATTAAGTCTAGCAAAAGGAGACCAAATAGGCCATGAAAGAATTTTATTGACTATTCCACCTTGATTTGTACTACATAAAAACAAAATCCATCCAATAACAATTGACCAAAGTGTTCGTGATAATGTTTGATATGCAACAAGTTCTGATCGACTTAGACCAGATACAAGAATATAATCAGGATATGTCACAAATAAACAAACTAATGCAATCACAATCATTAATATTGTTACGAAATGTTTAATACATTTATTTATTCGATATTGACGACCAACATTGATAACAAAATATCCACTTAATACACCAACAGCATATGGAGATATACGACACCAAGGTTTTATATAGATATATTCGAAGAAGTTAGGACCATTCTATATAAAAAAAAAGCAATGATCTGATATAATAACCATCATTAGCTGTACAAACTTACAGTATTCGCGAATCCATTCATATCATCCAATGATATTTGAGGATAGTAAAGTAGAATACCTAAAATTGATCCACTTCCAAGCAACACTAGAAGAATAATAATGACAAAAGAGAATGATTTTCGTCTCAGAACAAATGGAATTAATGATAATGGTGCAATCCAATGAAACTGCATGTCATTATGAAGATACCATGCAACACCTAAACACATATTCTCTGATTTCACTAAATTTCCAACATAAAGAATAGATGTCCACCAATATTGAGATCGACAACCAGTCGATTCAAATCCTTCTTGTTTTGGATAGATAGGACTATGACCAAAATATGGTGTTAAATTAATACTTACAAGAATCATCAAAAGAAATGTTGGTGTCAATCGAATATATCGATGAATATAATAAAGAATCATTAAACGAAACGATAATTTTCCTTCTTTTTCTACTTGTCGAACAAATAAGACTGCTGTTAAGAAACCACTAAGAACAAAGAATGTATCAACACTAAGAACTCCACTAATAATCAATTGAAAAAATATATTACGAGTCCAACTAAGTACATCTACTACATTAATTGAAAATGAAAAACCAAAGACTAATGAATGACCAATAATAACCCAAAATAAAGATAATACTCGAATACCATTGATAAATACAAATGAATTCTCATCATTCTTCTGTTTCATAGTAAATATTCGACGAAGAGTTTTTAGAGCAGAAAATTCAGCTAAGAATAATGTATGAGGTGTAGCAGGGATCAATGTTTGAAGTGAATATCGTGATGATTTTATCGATGCTTGTTCAGATATCTCCGCATTGATGAAATGAGTATATCCATTCATATGTGAAAGCATATTATCACCTGAATCATCTCTCGACATAAGAACAAGATCAATGATTGTTCCTATCAAAACAAGTAAACCCAAAATTGAGAGAATAACAATAGTTCCAATTGCTCCATGAGTAAGACCTTTTTGTCCATTAGGAGGATCATTTGAACAAACAATATTATCTTCTGTAATATTACTTTTCTTGAATAGTGTATGAATCAAAGAAGCAACAGCTTGTCGATTACATGATGATGGAACACAAATACCAAGAATAAGAGAAAGCGTTGGAGTTGGAATTAGTGCAGATGTTTTCGGTGCAATAGTGCCTAAATAAACTTTCATATTACATTTAATAGATACACAAATTTACTCACAATGTTGTGTATCAAATGGTTGCGATAGAAATGTTTTGTTATTGGGTAAATACATTGGTTGTATACATTCATCATAATTACCAACCCAATATAAATTTCCTTTTAATAGACTAGATGGTAATGGTTTTCCCCAGGCATCGAGTACTTTCAATGCCCATGTATCATGTTTTAATGCTGCTTGAAGAAGGATTCCGAAATCTTGTTCACATTGAGTTGTTTTATTATTAGAAAAAGACATGTAGTTAAACATTTGTTCAAGGGTAAGATTGTTTGGTACATGGTCAATTAAATTTATAGACGAAAAGTGTCGATATTGATGTAATCTATGAATGGCTCGATCAAATCGCAATGGAATGATCTGAGAAAGTGTACTTGAAAGTAAGAAACAAAACAACAAAGGAACAACAGTCAACATCTCGAACTACTGACGAGTGAGTATAGCATATGTCGTTATATAATATGAGAACAATGATAACGCGATATTGATAAGAAAAAAAATCCTTGTTATCATCTTTGAAAAATGACATGGACAAGGTTAGATTTTATTTTATTCAAAATTAGATATTAATTGTGTTTCATCTTATCCTTCAACATTCATGATCTGTTTCTTGTTTTTGCCGATAACAAAAAAGAATTGTTGTAATAAAAGCAATGATTTTTATCAACTAATCCAATGTAATTGTAATAAGTTATTCTTCCAATGATAATGATGGTGGAAAAAATGATCGTTCAACAAGTATTGATATTGAAAGACCGTTTCGATTTTTACTGATAATTATATGTATAATAAATCGAATTGTAAATAAAAATAAAAGAATCAATGTTGAGAAAATAATTCGACGTAGTGAATTTGGTCGTCATTATAAAAGAGTATAGAAATTCTCCGCAGAAAATATTCAAATAAAAATATTTAAAATAATTCCACTTAAAATAGGATATCATAATGAGGATGATGAATCAATATCTATTTCTAGCGGAACACGATCGACACGTGAAATATGAACATGGAAAATAAATCGTTTAAGATCCGACGAGGCAAAGGATGGGATGTGGATGTGGGTTAAGATCAGAACAACACTGCAACCACATCCATACCCTTCTTGTAACTAGGATTTGACTTTTCAGAGATCACAGAAGGATGTAGAATGAGGATATAGATTTAGGTGTTGCTGTAATCTTAATTTGATACCTACATTCACCTTCGTGAGAATCGAAATTCTAATCCTGGATGACAAAAAATAAACAAAATGAGTAATGTAATAGAAATCAAATATGTTAAAAGTAATGAATATGGATTTACTTATTTACACAGAACCAAAGGAAAATATAGAATACGAAATAAAATATTTCATAAAAAAAAGAATGGATGAATTAGCTTTCGTCTCACCTCTTCCGAACATCCGGATACGTGATCGGATGTTCGGAATAATGCATTTTACAAAAAAAAACAACCGGATGACCGTAACTTCGTAAAAAAAGATTCACTGGAAGATTATTAGGATATAAAGACTTTTATTTCTGTTTTTCTATACAAGAATAGCGTTCGTTTAATTAGCACATTCATAGTTATATCAGGAGACATTTTTCTTTCTCTATCGCTGTTTTCTATACTTTAGTAGTTATAAAAGTTGTTTCTAACTTTCGTCTTTTAAACCTTTGAGGACGGGATTACGTTGAAAAAAAATTGAATTTCCGAAACTCTAAAACGATGTATATATTAGAAACAAGATCAATGAGGGCGCAATACACATGACAGTGTCACACTACATCGGACATGGCAGATCTATGGCCTGTGCAACATATAGATTATAACAGTATCATAAGAGACATATGCGTAAGTCAGTTATCATCCGGTCCAGAGCCGTTGCCTATATATAGGCTTCCTGTCCCCAAAGGGTTAATGTATTCATACAATTGATAGGTGGCAGTAGTTTCTGTACAAATGAAACACTATATAGAGTATGTATCAAAGTCTTTTCGTTCAGATATGATTGGCTATACAAGCGATTCAGTATTGAAGATGAACTAGGCTAAGTTCTCATAAAGAAGTAAAAATTATAGACTCCAAAACTATTCTATCATAAAGAAGAAAGTGTACTTTGCTGTTATTTCTTATTTCTAGATAAGAATTCAAATGAATAGAATCTTTTTCCTTGTTTGAATCTACATTTACTTTAATTTCAAATATTCTTAATGGTTATCACTCGTAGTCAAAATTCGGTTGCTGCATCAACAGCAGCAGTTTTAAAGTGTACATGTAAAATAAACAAACAACCAAAATCATCAACGCGTAGTCGTCCAGTTAATAAAACGTCAAAAAGAGCACCATCACCATCACCTTCACCTTCTAATCCTATTCATCGATCTCGTTCAAAATTATCTAAGAAAATCTTAGGTAATAATAATGTCAGTAATACTATATCATTTACATAAGTGTTATTCTATGCTTTCATCCGCTCTTTTCCAATAGAAAATAGTCAAAATGATTTGTTTGTTTATTTTTCTATTTTTTGCTGTTAGAGGAAGAAAACATGAATTTCTTTCTTTTCTTTACAAAAACTTGATATTCGTAAGCGAAAACATGTAAGAAATTAGTGAGATTAACCAACACGAGAATTACAAGATGTGGGTGTGGGTATTGATATTCTCTTTTCCCACACCCACATCCTGACACACCCGTACCGACACCTACACTCACACCTACACTCACTCACCCGCACCCAAACCACACCCACCCTCTAGTTTTTCTATAATAATGTATAAGACGAAATTCTTTTAAAAGTAATGATCTTCGAAAAACAAGAAAAAGAATGCATGAAAATGACCTGCCATCTACATGAAATTTTGATTTTGATCTTTGATTTAGAGAGAGGGACTTGAGATCTATAGTTCAACATACAATGTAAATTCCTGTTTTATTACATTCTAACGTTGAGCAAATGGAATTATCTATTTGCATGTGCAAATAATAGGGAACTTTGTTGACTTTTTACTCATTTTTCGCACTTTTTATCATAACAGCTTAACTTCTCATTGAAAATGTAATGAAAGATAAGAAGGCTTATTGTATGTTGAACTATAGATCTCAAGTCCCTCTATCTAAATCAAAGATCAAAATCAAAATTCCATCTAGATGGTAGGTCATTTTCATGCATTCTTTTTCTTGTTTTTCGAAGATGATTACTTTTAAAAAGATTTCGTCTTATACATTATTATAGAAAAACACATCCTAACTTCTTCTCTTTCAATTGGTGAAAGCCGCAGATCGCTAGCTATTACCATTCTCGAGATATTTGTCTTTTGCACCCATCCCTACTTAATTCTGGCGCCGACAATAATTGGCTGATTTTTTGGTTTATGATAGAATTTTATTCAAAATTTTTTTTCATACAGATAATGTAAGCAAATACATTCATTAAGTGTTATTACTGACTTCCCTAAACAAATCTTGTCCATTGTCAAATGTGCAAATGTATGTGGAATGTTCCATATATATTTTTAAGTTATCATCTTACAGAATTATAAGAAGAAAGCAAAATACACTAGATTGAAAGCCAACGATTACAATATCTCGAATTTTCAAGCATGGAATGCTGATTTTTGCAGTGAAATTAACGAATTAGTGTCTAAAGGGCTTCGATTGTGTGTTTTACTTATCGAACATAAGTTTCAGCATGTGATCTAACTAGTATTAAAAAGTTCTATCACTAACCAAAAACTCATCTAATTTCATTGAATTTAAATGGAGATATCTCAATTTTTTATCGCACTGTTATTTATGGGCCACCCTGTATATATTCGTGAATTTCCTCGCTGATAATCTGCACATCTCAATCATCTTTCCGATTTTAATACCATGAAGATTGCGCTAACATTTTTTTATTGCCACAAAAGACATCTTCGACATAAAAGTGAATTATGAATTAGTCAATGTCAAGAATCTTTCTTGTAATTTAACATCAAACAAAGTTCAGGATTCGAGTTATTGAACATATGTCACGTTGTCAAGGATTGTGTGAGACACTGACGGATCAAAATGTGATATAATGTCATTTAGAGATATTTTCATGTTAGAATCTTGGACAAAAAGATGTAAGACAATTTAGTGACATTTGTTTAGGACATGAAGCATCGAAGAACTTTTATTTAGCATTCATCCGATGAATTGAAACATATCTTCGTAGTTTCCAAGACTTTTTAAAACTTTCTTTTGAATTCTGATACTCATTTTATTTTTCAACGTAATGAATTAGGAAGGAAAATATCTGTCTGATGCTAGAACATTTTCTAATAATACGATTGAAGTTTGGCATGTCCTATTAAAAGATTATTAAGACACATGATGCTTATCTGAATGTATACTGCATTTCTTTATTAAGTCTAATTGAAAAGAAATCAGAGTTACTGCTACATCTCTTGATAATATCGATGTGATTTCTACATTCAAAAATTTTTTTGACTGTCAGGATTTTTTTTAAAATAGAATAAAAAATTCTTTCCACCATTTAACATGTGTTCTATGTTAAATGTTATTTATGGACGAAAGAAAAAAAAAAGTATTGCCGCCACGTGTGCTTCGAAAGAAAAAGAAAACGTTGTTATTACACGTTATTCAGCTATTGAATAGAAAGTGCGCAGGTAAAAATTGACAAACGCAAGGATGAAATGTATTATTTTTATATTTTATTGATTCTAGACGTCGCACGATCACATTTAATTCATCCATTATTCACAAACAACTTTTCATCAGTAGAAAAGAAACATTTTTACTTTTATTTTAACTGTATGTTAACAAAGACGAAAATTCTTTATTGACAGATTCAAGCAAAAAAATAATCAAGGTTGGTACTATTTTTATCCTTGAATAACATAAATCGAAATAGTGAAAAGATTCGTGCTTTGATCAAAAAAACAAAAATATATGTATATGCACAATTCTTTATAAATAATATGAACTTACACGAATGATCAGCTATAGAGCGAATCTTTTATCATTCTTCTTACTTCGATTATGACTAACGCCTTATCGATGTAGACTCATAGACCATGACATACATACTCTATGAGATAAAGTTTATCGTATACTTAAACTATTTTCAATCTTGGAGGAGTTGCTCACAGAGTTTACTTTATTTTTACAGGACTAGACACAGTCGGAAAGAAACTGATATCAGATATAAATGTTGTTTTAGCAATGAAGTGATGTGTCCTATTTTGGATTATCTTGAAGTTTTCAAGATACTGAGACAAATAGAGAAAAATACATGATTGACTAATGAAGTAAAAACGAAATCAATTCATGAGGATGTTTCACTGACCAGCCGAAGCGTATGTACCATATAAACATAGTGAAAAGAAACGTTTACGAGAGAGAACTCATTTTATTTATTTGAATGCTTCTATCACAGTCTTAGATAAATTGTTAGAACTAATGAATAGTTTATGGATACAATAATAGTTTTTGCATATTTTCTCATTCGAGATTTTCCACATCAATTTTCATTTTGCTTCACTGTCCTTGCTGATTTACCTAAAGAAACAATGTGAAACTAATATAATTTTATATTAAAAGATAATATTGCCAATAAGAATAGAGATATGTGTTACGAGTCAGAGACACAACTATAGGAAAAACATTGTTCAAATCGGAGCTGAAAGTTGCTGTTAAATGCTCCATGGTTTAAATGAGTTTCCTTGTAAATCGTACTAGTGAAAGAAAAATTCAGGAGAGATGAATAAAAACTGATATTTGCGTCTGATGAATTTCTAGATGAAAGAAGTAATTGTGTTTTTTAAGTAATAACAATACCGATGGAATAATGTTTCTTGTTTGTTTTTATAGATCATGGATTTCAAATCTGATGTTAACAATGATCGTGAAATATTTAATGAGAAGAGAATTTCAATTGAGAAGATCTCTATTGATATTGATACAAAATCAGTCAAGAATAAGTTGAGAACATCAACAGAAATACCGAACGATTATCCAGATTTATTGACAAGCAACAATAATGAACAACTCGATTTCCCTTTTCCATCATCTTCTTACTACAGGTGTGTTATTCTTCAATAGAAAAAAATCATTCAGAAGCACTTTCAAACTTGCATCGACTATTATCAATGTGAAAAAAATATCCTTAGATATCTTAAAACGTTATTCTATAGAGGATTTCTATGCTAAATAGTTGTATGACTACAATTAACAGAAAGAAATTCTTTCAAAGGTAATAGAAATAATAGGCTAAATCTTTGAGTGAATATTTCAAATATCCATGTACAAAAATCATTATCTCTTGTCTGTATCTATAGCGTTAGAGTATCTAATCTATTATTTTAATCATGATAATAAACAAAGTTTCTCAAGATATTCAGTACAATCGGATCGATGTTCATTTTTTGGTGTTGATTGGAGTGATAAAGCTCATCCAAAATCCCATTGTTGGCTTCCCAATTGTTCGATGGATTCTTCACCTATTCCCAGATGTGCGTACAATTTATGCAAAGTCTCTCATTCATTTCATGCTGACACATTAATTCAATGTGGTTCATGCAGAATATCGATCCACAGAGAACACATGGATGACTTGCAGAAAATGAGCGATACTCATAATTATATTCCATTTTGTCGTCCCTCGTTTTCTGATAACATTATATCAGACAATAATGACGACGATGATCATCATTACTGGTCGCCCATTTCATCACTGACGAAATTATGTATGATATGCAAACGAAAAAGTTTATCACGAACGTTAACTCTTCGAAGAGAATCGCACATCTCAGAAGAAAATATAGTACGAATCCAGATAAGGCAAAACTTAAATCCAAAACTTATTAAAACTTGCCGTGGTCTGAGATGTCTATGGTGTTCAGAAGAGTGTCATCGACAATGCTGGCAAAGTATCAACGACAATGATGATGATAACAAATGTGATTATGGAAAGTATAAGTGAGTTCATTTGTAAGATATTACTAAATTTTTCAATTGTATTTATTTTTCAAAGGAATATCATTGTTCGTCCACAGTGGTTACATCGTGTAGCAAACTCTCCCGTAGGTTTTCAAGCACGATTTCCAGATAACATCGATGCGAGCAATTCATCATTAACTCCTTTAATTGTCTTTATAAATGAACTTTCAGGTGGTCAAAAAGGAAAGATTATATATCATAAACTTTTACGTTTATTAAATCCACGTCAAATTTTTCTCCTCGAAAACAATACAACTGTAATGCAAGCTTTGGATATATATTCATCTCTTCGTAATACTCGTATTTTGCTTTGTGGTGGCGATGGAACAGTCGGATGGATACTGAGCACTTTAGCAAATAGATTTTCATCACTTGATAATCCTCCAGTAGGTATTTGTCCTATGGGTACAGGAAACGATTTATCACGTGTATTGGGCTGGGGTTGGTCTTACAATATGAAACAACTATTAACCACACTCTTACACATTTCTAATGCTAAACCCATTATACTCGATCGTTGGCAAGTTGATTTTGAACCATTAACAAGAATTGATTCTATCGAAGAGATTGGATGTATTCGTCGATGTTTATCACGTATTCTCGATCCTCCAAAGTTTGTTCGTGAAACTGATCGACCATCTTATCAAAATTATCAAAAACCTCTCAATGTTCGATTTACTAATTACATTAGTTTTGGATTAGACGCAGCTGTTGTGTTGGATTTTCATAATAAACGAATGCAAAATCCATCGAAATTTACATCACCAATGAAAAATAAACTTATGTATCTCAATATTGGTAGACAATATTTCAGAGAATTTGCTTTATGGAGAGCATGGAATTTAAGATCATATATGAGAATTATTTGTGATGGTCAAGATATGACAAATTCATTACGTCATTGTCATACTGTTGTTTTCTTAAATATTCCAAGTTATGGATCAGGTACTCATCCTTGGAGTAGAACATATCAAAATAGTACATCGATATCAAACAATATTCAAAATCAAATCAATTCGAATACATTTCCCGATATAGATCCACCTGATTTCAGCTATTACAATCGTAAATTTGCAAGCGAAGATATATCCAATACCATTGAATCATCTAAAGCGTCTGTTACTAACGATCAGATCGGAAGACAGAGTATTGATGATCACAAAATTGAAGTGATTGGATTAGACTCGATACAGATGGCTTTGATTCATATTGGTTTTCGAGGTCGTCGCATTGCTCAATGCAGTCAAGCACGAATTGAACTCATTCGTTCAATGCCTGTACATATGGATGGTGATCCATTCTATCTTCCTCAATCTACTGCAATCAATGTTACTCACGCAGGACAAGTTTTAGTTTTGACAAACGACAACAAATAGACAAACATATAACCTTTTAGCAACCTAAGATTTTTTTACATTGATTCTATCTCTTCTTATAAAGCCATTCACTATTTCGATTTATTTAAGAAAATAAAATAGTCAAAGAAAAAAAAATTCGAAACATCATAAAGATGCAATATCAGATTGTCTTCAAGGCATCATCCATTTAAAAGAGCATAATTCGAACTATTAAGTATACATCTTATAACTATAAAACAAAAGTAGCTACTAACTGCCGGTTATTTTCTATCTGAATGGAGCGTCAAAAAGCATCGGTTCATAATCAATTTTTCTTGATGAACAGTTTTTGTGCGAATTTGAAAAATGATTTAAAAGAGATTTTTATATGAAATTAATGCTTCAACAGAGAAAGTTCTTTCGATCCACATTAACTATCGATTGTCTAAAATATCTCATACATTTATCCGTGTAACATTTTGATCATTATTCTCAGAAAAATTAGTAAAACTATCAGTAGAAAATGTTCAATCTATAATTTTAGTATACGTTATATGAGACTTGAATATTATCTTATGTTCATTCAATTAAATAATAGCTATCTTTATATATAAAAACTCTTCAGTATTATTAATCTCTTTTGAGAACCACTTTGATCATGTAATCAATTATAATTTTCATTTTAATGATCTACTCAATAAACATATGTTTAATATTTACTTTATTGATTATTCGATGAAGATGAGAATCGGTTTTTTTTGTCAAAAAATATCTATTTGATAATTCCTATCTGTCAACATTTGAAAGAAAAAGCTTTTTCACCATTCATTATCATCATCATCGACGAAGTTTTCTTGCTAGAGTTAATAATTATCTCTTACATGAACATTTAGTTCCACTTGGAATATGAATATATTTTCATAAATTTCATATCAGTTTCGAAATAAGGAAATATTTCGATTTATATCAAAATAATAAAAGATCAACACTTAAATGGAAGTTTACCAAAATAATAAGAATGTTTTTTTTCATTTATGATTAGTATCTCTTATCAATATCATCAATCAAGAATGCATTTATAACAGAGTAGTGAATATCATGCTTTTGTGAAATATGATCTAAAAAGAGTGTTGAAGTGTATAGGGATAGATATTTCGACCTACTACCCCCTTCCCAAAGTGAATAGCCAGGCGACAAAATATTTCTACTTAAGGTGTAATTTTCTCAGCAGCATTACGCGCAAGAAAGTTGAATTTTGTCCCATATGATCAGGTATGAAGCGAGCTATAAAACGCATATGTATTTCCTACTAAAAGAACTTTATTGAAAGATTTTTGTCAAAAATATTGAAATCTTTTTACTCCTGGACTCTGCTTACTGTTCACTGTGTCTCACATAGACGTGACAAGCAACGTCACCAACTGTGACCAATACCATCACAGGTCGTGGTAAACATCTTAGCAGCGCCCAAGGAAGAAACAGCGCACTCTGGAACTTCAAGAAACTTCAAGGGCCTCTACAGGACTCGGGTCCACTGGTCCCTGCTGGGCAGCGTCTATTTCCCTGTTCAAGACCGTAACTAAGGGTGTGGGCGTGAGCTGTGGCTGTAAGTGTGAAAGAAAGAAAGATTGACACCCACATCCTGTCATCTTTATCGACGTGCACGGCCGGAAAAGCGACCATACTGGTAGTCGTGGTTAGGTTCTGTGTCATGCATGAACTTTCTAGACCCACAAGACAATACATGTTTAACGAATATCATCTGAGTATATGAATATCCTTCTGATCCCATCTTGTTCAGGCATGTATATTTCTTGATTGCCGACAACAAATCGAAACTCTAGTGGAATGAATTTGAAATTTTTTTACTAGACTATGGAAAACCGCTCAGAAGATTTTAAGGAGCAGCTCATTTATAATTGTCAAACTTTGCACCTATCAAATTTAACATAATTTTAGATCGTGATCTAATCGACAAAAGTAAACCTTTGTTCACGATGTCTGGTATTGTGGTGAAGAACGTAAAGAAGAATAGCATAGAAGAAAAAATCATATTCTCCTCCTTTCTAACTATGCTCTTTCGCAGAGAGAACAAGGGACAAAAAAGAATGAGCAAGATAATATAGCAAATGATTGCTTCGACATGTATTTCCAATTACGACATAGAACGAGAAGAGGAAAAAAAAGCTTAGCGTATTTTTCTTCTTCCAAACTAATGTATGTCCCGTGTGCGAATATTGTTGCTAACAAGCCTTGAGAGAACAAAGAAATGACTTTTTCGACACATAATGAGTCATTATAATGATGAAAAAATACAATCGTATTTCTTTATTGCTTACTAAAGCTTGCAAACAACAACTTCACTGGTGAAATATCAATTGCGAAAACGTTGAATAAAAGTCTAGAGCATTCCTAATTTTTATAAACGAACAATGACTGAAGAAGCAGAATTACACGATGGGGGATTTTTTATGCAAAATTTTACCAATGGTTGGATTAATCGCAACTTTGTAGACGCGCTTTTCGAAGCCTACTATACAGATGTAAAATGGCATAATACTGACGAATCTAAAGCGTATTGTGTCATTCCAAAAGGGTGTGTGGGTGTTCCTTTTACCGAATAGAAAATAAGGCTCTTTTCATGACGAATCTAGAGATTTGCATCAATTATTCACCATTGGAGATGATCGAACTATTCAATAACACGTCGAATTTGCGGATTTTGACAATCGATGTATACGATATTTGGTTGAATGGATATCGATGACAACAGATCATTTACTCCAGTTAAAAGCATTTCGATTCTGAATGAGATGCTATTCTGATAATAAATATTCTAGTGAAGTACAAGTCAATGAATTATTAAATACATTTCGAACTCCCTTTTGGCTCGATGAACATCATTAGTTTGTTCGATGCCACTGGAATTCAAAAGAACACGATGGCAATATGTTGCTTTATACTTTTCTATATTGTTTTGGTGAATTCTCTACTCAAGATCTACAGACAAGATTCAAGTCGATTTGGTCCGGTGATTGGGATTTTTATTCATATAGTTCGATGCGTAGCATAGCCTTCACAACGATGTCGATGGCCACTGGTCTACAGCTGTGATTCACTTTCCTACCATTGAGGAGGTGTGGATGTGGATGTGGGAGATTCATTCAGACCCACACCCACATCTTGCTGATCTTAGAATCTTTCTTTGAACAAAAAAAAATCAATCACTATTAAATAAATAGGATGTGGATGAGGATTGGTTTTTTGATTGACTTTATTTGAATACGGAAGCAGCATAAAGAATTTCATGTGCACGTCAAAACTATAGATGTACCTATTGTGTAGAATTGCTTTTAAATGATTAGCTCTAGTTTGAATGAAACTTTTGAACTTGGTAGAGCTTTAATCATTCTATTGATTGATATCTTATATTGTTGATTGGTTGAAGTTTTTATAAAACAATATAAAAAAAAACAGTTGATCTAACGAGATGGAAAGGGAGATCATCACCCTCATTCTTATGGGGATGAATGATCTAGTCAAATAAATTATTTTCGATTGATGATCAGAGTAGATCTATCGAACTGTAAAGGAATACAGATAGAAATGGAAGTTTCATGGATCATCTCTGATCTGTATCTATGTAGATTCGAGATAATTCGATTTATGTTTGCATACAATTTCATTTTCGTCGACAAGAAAGCATAAAAAGATGAAGAGGATGAATTTTATTTCGATAATAGAGTTATCCATGACTGTATATTGATGATGAAAATATTGAATCAAGAGTTTTTTTTTTCAAAAACTCCATTACTTCCGAACTTCTCCTGCCGTGACTGATAATATTATTCTGTTTATAATTCAAGTGTCTCGTTGCTAATGACTTCTAATAAAAATCTCGTTGTCTCCCAAATAATATTCAAGAAAAAAACCATGATCATCAAATTTTTGTTCAAATCGTCAAGTTTACCATTATAAATGATAGAAAAGACTAGTTAACGATGAAAGAAAAGCAAGATAAAGAAGTACTTGATTTGGTTACACAAAAAAGACAACCACTGGAGTTTCTCAAAATGTTTCGTCACATACGACCACTATCTTGATAGCAACAAGATTGACTAGTATATTTACTTTCAAATTACTTGTTCAATTTATTAGTAAATAAATAGATTTTTCTAACTGCTTTCGATATATGAATAATTTCTAGCATGTAGCTTGATCAATATTTTAAATAGTAGTGTATCCACCATCAACGACTAGATTAGCTCCGGTGATAAATGGACATAGATCAGAAGCTAAGAAGACCATCATATTAGCAATTTCTTGTGCTTGACACATTCGCTTTAGACAGCTGTTTTTGATAACTTTGTCTTCCAACTGACCTTTGCTCGTGCCAGAGTCTTTGGCGATTCGATCGATTGTAGGCGAATCGATATAACCTGGACTCACTGAATTGACTCGAATGTTGAATGAACCCAAATCAAGTGCAAGATTTCGTGTCATTTGAATAACAGCACCTTTGCTCGTTGAGTACAGAACGTAAGGAGAGAGAGCAACCATACCACTGATACTAGCAATGTTGACAATTGAGCCGCTACCTTGTTTCTTGAGTATTGGTGAAACATGTTTAGCCACAAGAGCATAACCACGCACATTCACATCGAACACTCGAGACCAGTCATCAGATGAGGCGTGTTCAACATCGGCCGTTAGAAACATGGCGGCACTGAAAGAAATCAACACGATGAAGAATACTTACTAGCAACTGTGTACAAGAAACTTACGTGTTAAATAGAACATTGATCGTTTTCCACTTGTCTAGTGTTAATTTCACAGCTTGTTCAATACTTCGTTCGTCAGTAACATCAAGGGGAACAGTCAGTATCCGATCTTTATTGTTGCTATCGTCAGAGGCAAGAATTTCGTCCTTGACTTTATTAATTGCTTCAATGTTCAAATCACCCAGAACCACAAAAGCACCGTGAGCATAACATGTTTGAGCAATATGTTGTGCAACATACCCAGCGCCACCGGTCAAAAAGACCACTTTGTCAGCAAGCAACAGACTCCAATTGCCTGTATTCGTAGCCATCATTCTTTTTTCTTCTTCTTATTGTTGTTATTTTCGTTTGCTATACCATGCTCTGAATGAAGAAAGATAGCATATCTATCGATATGAAAGTTTATTCTGCATGCGCACAAGCATGTGTTGCTTTTGTTTACAAGCGATAGGAGAAAAGGAAAAAATTTAACCTTGTGTTTTAGTCAAAACCAACTCCTTCTCTAATTTCATCATGACGTAGTATCGTTCAGATTAGAAGAAAAAAAAAGAAAGAAGTAGAGATCTCCAAATTCTTTATTGGAGTTATACTTGGAATTCTAAGGCTTGGACATGATAAAATATAAGATACGTTATGAAACTTAAAGGCTCGGCACTTGCATCCTGGACTTTGTTCCCAGAGTGATATCTAAAATAGATACAACGATAAGCAATTCTACTTATCTGTGTGTCGGTCTCAAACACAATTTGTAGAGTTAAATTAAAATCAAAATATTTATCTTTAATCTGTTTTAAAAACCATTTCTTGCGTTATTACACAGTATTCTGAGTCTATAGGTGAATCAGCAAGGATGGAATTATCCATGTTTGGAAAATTCTATGAAAAATGAACAAAAAGAAAAAGTCATGCTCGTTTTCCCAAGATCACATAAAGCAATGCTTTTCCAAACAGTGTCTGATAATCTTCTAGATACTTGTGATTTGAAAATATATACCGAGAAAAATTTACAAAACATCAGCAAAGATCAAAACTTTAATACCAATACCGATATTTACCAATACTTCAATACTCAATATCAAATACTGAATATTAGTTTTGGTAACGATGCATACTTATTCATCATATCATTCGCACTTCTTCTGCCTCCTTACAAACATACCTCATTACTCATTAATCAGTTACAAGAGTTTCTAGACAAGAATTTTTTTATTCAACTTTTTATTTCTTGTTGTAATTTAATTTTATTACATGCACAACTTTGCTAAGAAGGTTAAAGACTCCATTATTGTTGTTTTGCTTTAATGTGCATGCTTCTTGCTTGTTTAAGAGTGATTAACCACTACCACCATAAACTGCACAAATGTAAGGACCTCGAAATTTGAGCTGCTTACAATGATATCCAGAACAGCATTGTGCGGATGAAGTACAGCTTTCACCTTGTCGCCCACATGGATTTTGACCTTGACTTGTTTGTATAAATGATAATATAATTACCACACAAATAAGAAGTAGAAGTTTTATGAAATGCATTTGAGAACTAAAAAAAAATAAATTACTCCAGTTGATTGTTAGTTCTATGCGTATGAACATTTTTACTTGCGTGTATTGATTTCGATTGAGTGTTGATAGAAGTATACGATAGTGCTATTGTGTGAAATTAAAAGTAGTACATAGCTCTCTTTTTATATCTAGTTTATGGGTCTTTAGAATAAGGACGAAAACACACACTTAATTGTGTTTTTTCTCAGAATTTTAAAACTTTTGAAACATGAGTAGACTTAATCTTATAGATTTGAATATTTCGGAGAAAGAAAAAAGAACGAATAAAGCACTACGTCAACAGGTGTTAGTATCGAGTGTTCCAAAATGTTCTCGACATGGAGACATGATAAAACATTCGTTTTTTTAAAAGATGTGCCGTCGAATATTCTACAAAACCTGAGAGAGAATACTCCCTTGACTTGCATCTGTTGCAAAAACAAACGAATATTTTATCACGTCTCCGTGTCGAGATATAAGCAAAATGAGAAATGTACAAACATTTTGGAACACTCGATAATAATAATGGTTGACGTATTGCTTTACTCATTCATTTTTCTTTCTCCGAAATATTCAAATCTATAAGATTAAGTCTACTCATGTTTCAAAAGTTTTAAAATTCTGAGAAAAAATACAATTAAGTTTGTATTTTCGTTCTTGTTCTAAATATCCATAAACTAGACATAAAAAGAGAGCTATGCACTACTTTTAGTTTCATATAATAGCACTATCATACACTTCTATCAACACTCTTAATTGAAATCAGGATGAGAATGAGGATGATGCTCATATTTTCATTCTCGTCATCATTCACCCACACTTACCCTTCACTCTCCTCATCAGCCACTCTCAGCCTTAATGTACTCAGATAGTAGATAAAAAACGCTAACAAATTGCGAATGTTTTTGAATGGCAATAGCGATCCTTAGTTGTCAGTCAATAACGTTTTTAAAAACTCGATACCAAGGCGCTGAAAATTTTCGAACGTTTATTGATGCTAATCGGGGTTTCTTATCCTAGATCGATTACGGTTAGAGATAGTCGATGTGCAAACGAAGAAGATTCTATACCAATTAAATGACCGACGTTCCAGTTACGGTGAAAAGTGATCGTTTACACTCATTATGTATCTAAGCGTTACTGATTCCGCAATTGAGAACCGTAGTTGACATCCAAACTCGGTCGAAATTTTAATTATGTTTACATGCATTTTTTATTTTTTTTTGTCTGCTTGGATTGTATTCCATGTTTCAATTCCATGGAGATTGTGTCAACAGATTTTTAATGATCGTCCAAAAGATAATACCAATTAATTCGATATAATTCATTGCAAATCGAAATTTTCTAGATTAGGACAAAGTAAGCTATATCTAACGTGTGGGTGTGGATGTGCGTATGAATATACTCTTCATCCACACCCACCCACACTCACACCCTCATCATCGATATTTGTTTCATCTGCTATCTGAATATCAATTTGTATATCATCATTGTCATCGGACGTGGATATGACTTTCATCTGAAAAGAAAATATCTGTGTTGTACAAACTATCCATCAAAAGAATATTTATCAGTTTACTTTAGTATGTGTACGATTCGTACATTGTTCAATTGAGCAACCACAAAAAGGTGTGCATCTCAAGTTGTTTGAAGAATATCCGGGTCGAATAATCTGATAGTAAGATCTTAAAAGTTTCTGACAAGATTATATACGATCCTACTGTACGATCTTATATACTCATACAAGATCATATGAAAATCATATAGAATCTTATATATTCGGTCGGTTTAGTGTTGAGTGAATCGGTACGGGATAAACGTTATTTGTAATTACAATGAGTGCAAAGCCGCATCTTGCATAATGTGAAGATCTCATGTCAATGCAAAATGTCATCGTTTATAGATACTGCATCCTATTCAAGATACCTCATTGTCATTTTCGAGATATTGCAAGATTCCAGCAACCTACCATAATCTCAATTTGTGTTGAATATCTTTGTTATAAAATAAATTTGATGTTGAACAAAAAACTTATGGTTCAACTCAATGTATTATAGGAATATTTATATAAACAGAAATAATTTATTACAGATTACTACTTATCATACACAAATTCTTTTCTTTGAACAATAGACAAACCAATTTTCTGTTATTTTATTTTGTTTTTCTTCAATTCAATAATTCAGTTAATGTTCTTGAACATATTATTGGATAAGATATTTTGGCATAAGGAAAATATTCTTCTGAAGAATTGGAACATTTTGCTTGATCACGTAAATCTAATTTCTTTATTTTGGCACAATTAATTCGTGTAGCATCTCTTGTGAAATTTTGTGTTACCCATTGTAGAGATTCATAGTCGATCTTAAGAATAATATTGTTTGGCAAATACGTTTTCGTATCAAATAGAAATTGTTCGAGATAATCATCGTGGGAATCGATAATACAAAGTTCAGTAAGAAAAGAATATTCAACAGCAGATAGATTTTGATGGTCATTGTTTGATTGACAAGATTCTTTGCGATTCTGTATGGAAATAATTGAACGATTCGAAGAAAAAATTCATGTTCAAAAGAATGTTCATCAACCAATCACATATAACGAATATAATTGAATAATCCACCTGGAAAACTATTTGAAATCTCGTCATAATATTCTATGCAAGATGGATATGAGTAAATATGACATTGACCATCTCCTGTCTCTGGAAAATAATCAACGTAAGAGATAATTTCATTATTTGGAAAGTCAATGAATGTACGCTGAATATCTTCTGTTGATAGCAAATTTAATTGATTATTGATCAACATAGATGAATTAATATAAAACATAAATTGATTCAGTCTTGGCATATGATTAATAATCATTCTCTTCAAATGATTTCCATCAATAAATGTTTCATTAACGCAGATCGTAAGATGCAAACCGAGTTCTTCTAAACTAGTCATTTGATAGAGAAGTGGTATAATAGTTTCATTATAAGAATATGTTTTCAGATGAGATGACAGAGAAAAACACTTTAGATTTGGTAAATCACCCTAAAAAATAAAAGTTGTTTTATTATTTGTTAACATAGAGGTTTTGCCAGGAAAACTAACTTGATTCTCTATTTCTCCGAAATGACAAATAATGATCACATTAACATAGAGTGTGTGAAGTTAATTGAAACGACCATCAAGAAGATAAAGACAAACGTCAAAATATTCGATTCTGACGTTCAGTTTCAATAGAGTTCAAGAACGAAATGTAGAAGGAGGTGGTGAATGAATAAACTTTAATGAAAAACGATTTTGATACAATGATTCATAGAATACTAAAGTAATCAGACAGGAGAAAACAGTGAAGATGGAATCACATATCTTTGATGTTGACAATTGTATCTCTTTAGAATTGTCATTATTCTTAATTGTAACAATAAGAAAATAATAATCAATATATTCAATAATTTAATCATTGAGATTTCTTACTGGTCAAAAGATATTGAATTGACTCTGCATCAATATTATAAAGACCGAGACCATATAGATTAGGATAATCAGCAGCACATAAAATATCTTTCATCGATGATGAATGAAGATCAAGCCATTTGATTTCATTATGAATTTCAGGTAAAATTTGTAAAAATCGATCAAGCACCATATTATCAGAAATGAGATCAATAAAATTATGTGAAAACCATTTGACAAAAGTTAAACAATTTGTAAACATTGGATCATATACAATTCGACTCAGTCGTTGATTAACACCTTGGAATGAATAAAGCACATCAATATTGTTCAGCTTTTGGAAAATGATTAGAAGGATTTCATCAGGTAAACCGTTTAAACCAACAGATGAATGCGCCATATTGATTTTATTTATCTATTCTGATTTTCAAATTATGATCGTCAATAGAAACAATGATGCATTTTTCTATTGTCAAAATTGATAATGAAGAAATGGATGATTGAAAGAATGTGAAATTATTTTTTCGTCTTTTCACTTGCCTAATATGACATGTGAGAAAAAATAATACACTGTCCATTTATTTATTTGATCATCTTTATGCAGATTTGCAGGATTCAACGGACACTTAGTTTAAATAAATTACTTAAAAAAATCTTTCTCTAATCATTTAAAAAACGCATCTAAATGTTCTATGATAGATTGAGAAACTATCCTGAATGTGTGGGATGTGCAGACTGATCATCTTTACTCAGGCTCATGCCAAGACTCATTCGGCTAACTTCTGTGCTATTTGATCCATCCTTAGTTGACTAGTTGAGCAACTTTCGGATTACTGAATAGTTGATCAGTTGAAACTTCCAAAATTCTATAATGAAATAGTTGAACATTTCAAATGAAATTTCACTTTTCACACCATCGAAAAAAGCATTCTTCAAGTAAACGTATAAATGAGTCGTCGTCATTAAAAAAAAGAAGGTGATCATTTTCAAAATAATTTTGATAGAAAAAAATAGATGAGAAGAATATTGTCATTAATCATTTTTATTAGAGACCAAAATAAGAGCTTTTATCTGCTTCCTTTCATTGAGAAGAGTTCGATGTCTTTTCTAAATTGTTTCATCAAGAAATCTTCTCCACATCAAATAAGAAGATTTTCAAAATACTTAGTTGAAACAACAATTGCATTGCTACTTTATATAATAAAATAATAATAAAAATAATACTTCTGAATAAATTAGAGAGAAAAATGAAATTGTTTATGACGGTTTAACAAGTCAACTATTCCATAAAAGCCTACAAGCATTTGTAAAATTCAGATTCGTTCTGATTCAATATTTCATCAGCAATTATTGAATATTTTTGTGAAGAATAATTCAAATAAAAATATCAGAAAGAAGTCGAACGTACAAAGATATTATTTTACGTTTGGTTAGATATTGAAAGTATTTCATTGTCGAATTCATAATTGATCGAAATATATGAAAGTACAATTTCTCAAATGTAGTATTTAATGTTCTTGTTTCAAGTCTTAATCCTTATTATTGTGTTTTACCATTTATTTTTATTGATGAACGAACAAAAAAGAATAATATAAATAAAATAAAGAATGGTTCATCTTTTCTGTTATTTATAAATGAAGAAAAATATTTAAAAATGATTTAGTTTGACTATGCATATTTAAAATTCGAATGAGATTGAGCAAAAAATAGATCACACTGGAGTTAAAAAAAGAACGTACATAATGTTTTTTTAGGCAAAAAACAAGGTGAAATAATTGTGGAAGAAAAGAAAATATTTTCTTCTTTTCATCAAGACAAAAACATTAGTTAAATGAGAAGAATCAACCATCAAGGCTATCATCATCATCATCATCACTATCTACATCATTTTGATTAAAATGTGTAAAACGTCTTAATGGATAAGGGTTATTTCTCTTTGTTTTCTTCTAGCAGTTTCTTCTCTAAATGTAATTAAACTTGCTTGAACAGCTGTTTGACTATCATCAATTTCCGTATTTCGTTCATCAGCACCATTAACATACGATAAAAGACTATCCATAGTTGTCCATTGTCTAGATAATGTTTCCATATGGCGTCTTTGATGACGTTCATGTCTTCTAGATTAAATACATTTAACTAAACAATATGTTCCATAAGTTGATGCACCAATTGTTGTCCCAACAGCTAATATTGCGACTGCGCCGACAGCTGCTACAGGTATAGCTAGTGTTGCAGCACCAGCAACTAATCCACAAACTGTATGACATAATATTGGTTTATCTGGATATAAATTATTCTTTTTTCTAAAAGAAAGGGCTATACGCTTGATAGATATCTTAAAAGTTTGTTTGTCCGAGCCAATCAGAATTCAGTATGTGCTAAACCAATAAAAACTCAGCACTAGTTCTCAGAAAAAGTTTGACCAATAAGTAATCGAGGATGAGGAATCCAAATTTGAGGTTAGTTTTAATCAATTAATTATTAATTAATTATTAACTGATTATTAATCTATATATATAATGTTCAGTGTATGTGTCTGTCTGTGCCGAGTTAAAGGTTGTAAGGCTTTGAAGGATATGTAGATAAGGGGATAAACGTATGAGGGAATAGGGGAATAAAGCTATAAAGGATGGCCCAGAAGTTCTGACTCGATTTGTATAAGACACTCTTATAGAGGGAAACACAATATCGAAAATTTGTCTCTATAAGGAAAAGATGCAGCAAAACAAGCTCTACAAAATGGCTTTTGAATGATCTCTTTATGTTCATATAATAAGAAAATTCAGAGCCTAGAAAGATACTTGAGAAAAGAGAAAAATTAACAATGAAGATTTTAGAACATAAAAATAAGATAGTGACACAATACAAATCGAATATTCGATTCACTTGCAAAATGACTTTAAGGTCATTAAATCAACAATTTTAGATGCGAAAAACATTTGCTCTAGGGCAATACTGTCGTGTCCTCACATTTTCGTTGTTGGAAATGAATTCTGAACCGACATCGATAATTATTTATAATTTTTAGAAAATCTTCGCTTGTTATGTCAAGATGAGTGTATAAGAAATACAACTTGAATAGTACCAAGGAGGGCATGAAGCATAGATTTGGATGTGCTACACAAAGAACTATGAGTACAACAAATCTTTAAAAGGGGTAAAAGGATCAATACGTTACGAAAAATATATGTTAACAAACAAAGAATGAACCATTATCAATGTCGGTTTAGAATTCATTTCCAACAACGAAAATATGAGGACACGACAGTATTGCCCTAGAGTAAAAGTTTTTCGCATCTAAAATTGCTGATTTAATGACCTTAAAGTCATTTTGCAAGTGAATCGAATATTCGACTTGTATTGTGTCACTATCTTAGTTTTATGTTCTGAAATCTTCCTTGTTAATTTTTCTCTTTTCTCAAGTATCTTTCTAGGCTCTGAATTTTCTTACTATATGAACATAAAGAGATCATTCAAAAGCCATTTTGTAGAGCTTGTTTTGCTGCATCTTTTCCTTATAGAGACAAATTTTCGACATTGTGTTCCCCTCTATAAGAATTTCCTATACAAATCGAGTCAGAACTCCTGGACCACCCTTTAAGGGTGTAGAGGATAATAGAATAGGGAATAAAAGAATAGGGTATCAGTGGATGAGACTATAACGGGATAAGAGTATAGGGAATTAGAGGACAATGCTATAAAGATATAGGGGAATAGAAGAATAAGGATATAGCAAATAAGAGAATAAGAGATAAAGGGGTAGGGTGTGAGTGTGGGTGTGGGTGCAGTTATCTGCTCACCATACCCACACCCACAACCGCAACAGACTAAAAAGACGAATAATGATCAGAGAAAGTCGATCTATCAGAATCCCCACAATCACCTGTAACACACTACTGTAATCCGATCTTGCTGAGAGCAGATATTAACTGATAATAACACCTCACACAACACCCAGGAATTCCTTCTACACCTACGAAATCCACATCGTTAGCTTTATGTTCGATTCTCTGTATTAAAACAAAGTGAGCATACAAGAAAAGGCAAACCAAACATCAAGCATAAACTGCTTCTCCAGAAAAACTCAAATATCGATTCGAGTAACTAGCTTCAGCTGCCATCCGCACTGTCTATATTATAATCACGCGAACATCGCTCTTGAAACGTGTAGATGAAGACGCAGCCACGCACCGAATAAATCAGGGATAGTCCCATTTAGACGACAATTCAATCACTACGAAAATACCTTATCAGAAAAGTGATCCTAGCCGCTCTCACTAACATAAACAGGAACCCGAACCAGACCGAATTTCACTTCATTCCGCGTATCATGTATCATACTGCCAAAAGGCAGCGAAGATCATTATAAATTAGCAACACACATCTGAAGAATCGACATGTTCTTTAAAAACGAACGCCTACAACGCACACACCGAGGTAACGGCAAAATAAACCGCTAGAAAAGTAGAGACACATAAATCAATGAACGAAAAGCGCCACGTAGCCATACACTGGTTACCAGCTCCATATCGTAGCGACATGATAACACCATACAAACCAAGATACTCATGTACATAAATAAAACCTATCCCGATCAAGAAACAGTTCCAAAACCATTCACTCCCTCTACACTGCTCCAAAATGTCTTACCAAACGCTACCACAATCACCGATCGAATAAAACTCATAATATTCTCATCCCTCATTCTCGGTAACCAAGAATCCAAAACTGGTTTCGCCACCATAGCAGCATCTACATCATCGACATATATCCCTAATCATCTCATTCTTCCGAATTCATACAGCGATTAGAATGATACTTCAATATTTTTAACGATTTAATAATAACATCAACATGAAATAATACTCATAATGAAATTATTCTAAAATAATGTACCAATTGAATTAGAAATTGAATGGTTTTTAGAGATTTAATAATAACATCAACATGAAATAATACTCATAATGAAATTATTCTAAAATAATGTACCGAATGAATTAGAAATTGAATGGTTTCTAGAGATTTAATAATAACATCAACATGAAATAATACTCACCATGAAATTATTCTAAAATAATGTACCAATTGAATTACAAATTGAATGGTTTTTAGAGATTTAATAATAACATCAACATGAAACAATACTCAGGATGAAATTATTCTAAAACAACGTACCAATTGAATTAGAAATCGAATGGTTTTTAGAGATTTAATAATAACATCAACATGAAATAATACTGAACATAAAATTATTCTAAATTAATGTACCAATTGAATTTGAAATTGAATGGTTTCTAGAGATTTAATAATAACATCAACATGTAATAATACTGAAGATGAAATTATTCTAAAATAATGTACCAATTGACTTCCAAATTGAAAGTTTTTTAGAGATTTAATAATAACATCAACATGAAATAACAGTAATCATGAAATTATTCTAAAATAATGTACCAATTGAATTAGAAATTGAATGGT